ACAGCCAGGGGCTCGCCCTGCTGGCACGGACCCCGTGCCAATAGCTAATTACAGCCGTGCTTCCCCGCCCAGCATTCCAGCCTGGGTCCCCAGGGGCGTCCCCCCAACCCTTGGGTGAGCAGCTACCCCAACGCCTGCGCCGTGAAGAGGCTTCGCCAGCACCCGTGGCAAAAAGCGGGTGACAGCTGCTGGAGGGGGGGGGCACTTGCCTCCGGGGACATTTGAGACACAGATAGGACATGGCTGGTATCTAAAAATGCCAGCGAGCAGCTGTCGGGGCTGTGCTGGAGCAGGGCGGGGAGGGGGGAGGAGGCTGCTGGGGGGCCCCTGAGGGGTGTGGGAAGCCAGGCTGGGCCCCCCACCCCCCGGCACCCCCAGAGCTGCCGGGAGCCCTCGGGTGCACAGCGCAGCTGGGGGAAACCCCAGGCACCCCTAAAGCCCTCGTGTCCCCAGGAGCTGTGACAGCCTGGGGCCCCCCCCAGGGACCCCCCAACAGTCGGCAGGCAGGGGAGTTTTATCGGGGCTTGGCAGGGCTGGGCCGGGCCCTGGCTGTGCACCCTAATCGCGGCTGCGCAGGCAGGGCCGTGGCTCGGGAGCTGGCCTGCATGCAGGAGTGTGCAAGGACATGAAGGAGTGTGTAAAAGCACACATGTGTGAGTGAGGCCGAGTAGGAGAGTGCCAGAGCATGCATGCGCGAGCAAAGCCACGGAGGAGTGTGTAAAAGCATGCACGTGTGAGCAAGGGCATGCAAGAGCCTGCCAGAGCGTGCACATGTAAACAAGGACATGTAAAAGCACGTGAGAACATGTAGAAGTGTGCCAGAGCGTGCACATGTGAGCAAGGACATGTAGGACCGTGCAAGAAGATGTAGAGGTATGCCAGAGCATGCACAGGTGAGCAAGGACATGTAAGAGCACGTGAGAACATGTAGAGGTGTGCTAGAGCGTGCACAGGTGAGCAAGGCCATGCAGGAGCGTGCCAGAAAGTGTATGTGTGAGCAAGGATGTGTAAGAGCATGCCAGAAGATGCACATGTGAGCAAGGAGGTGCCAGAGCATGCAAGAGCGTGCACACGCGAGCTAGGACATGTAGGAGTGTGCACGTGTGAGCAAGGACATGCCAGAACATGCACATGTGAGCAAGGCTCTGTAGGAGCATGCAAAAACATGTAGAAGCATGCCAGGGCACGCACACACAAGCAAGGACATGCAAATGCATGCCAGCACACGCGAGAAGGCACATGGGAGTGTGAGAGGCCACGCGAGCGCATGTGGGGCCCGCAGCCCTCCGTGCTGTGCCACCGGGCTCACCCTCCTGTCCTGCAGCAGAAAAACCCCACTGGGGAAGCCCAAATTCAGGGACCCTGACATGGCAGGAGCTGCAGCCGGCCCGCCTGGGCGCAGGGAACGTGCCGGGTGTGCTGAGTTGTGTTGGGTCTCTGCGGCATGCCACGGCCCGGTAGGAGACCCCCCCTACCACCACCACAGCAGGGCCACAGCCGCCAGCATCCGAGAAGGAGGAGGAGGAGGAAGAGATCGAAGGGAGCCCCAGCGGGGCCCGAGGGAGCCGCCAGCGTGCATTTAGAGCGTGGATGCTCGCCAACCCTTTGAATCTCCCTCTGTCTCACCGGCACCTTACAAACAGCCCAGTTTGGCAGAGCCACGCTGCCACCAGCACCCATCAGCACCCACAGCCCCGGGGCTGCCGTTGCACCCACTCAGCTGGAGGAAAGCCAGGAGCACCGGGGTGCTAGCCCTGCCCCGAGCATCCTGCGGCGGGGGCCAGGGCAGCATCTTTTTTTCCCCGGCCAGCGGCTCAGTGCCGTGAATCAGCACTTCCCGGCGAGGGGCTGGCACCGTGCCGCCGCCGAGGTCCCCCCGCCGGGACCAGGTGACGTCCCCCCTGCGCCCCGAGCAGCGGTTTGGTGCCTGCCACACCGCAGCCCCTTTCCCCGGCGCAGCCCTTGCGCTGCCGAAATGCCGGCGGCCAGTGCACGAGAGCTCATCGGGGTCCCCCCAAAACACCCCAAAAGAACCACCCCGTCACCACCGCCCGCAGCCCGGCGGGTTCCTGGGGCACCCTGTGTCGCCCCGGCTGCTTCGCTTTGCTAATTAACACTTTTATTTTTGCATCTCCACCAAGCCGGCAGTCAGCCACGCTCCCAGTCCTGGTAGAAAGGGGGGGCAGGAGGTGGGGGGACACCTCCAGAGCCCCCCCCCAAGAGCCGCCTGCCTCCCAGGCACACGGCCAGGAGCAGATGGCCCCGCTCAGTGCAGCACGGGGTGGTTGGGCACGGCACAGCTCCTCCGGCCGGCAAAGCCCCGCTCCAGCCACGGCTCCCCATTCTCACCCGGGGGGCGAAGGTTTGGGTTTCCCCAGTGCGGATGCCAGCCATGCCAGGACTGTCCCATGTCACCTAAACCACCAGCGCACCAAGCCGGCGACACGCACACGTGCTGACACTCCACAGACATTTTTGGCTATAAATAGGCCTCCCCTGTGCACGGCGTGGGCCAAGCCCCACTCCCTTCTTAGGAGCTGCCCCCCTGCAACTCCTCGCTTACCAAAAAATCACCAGCCGGGGCCCTAAAAAACACATTATAACTGCAAAATACTCCTTGGGGAGCTGTGCTGGCACTCACCGGGGTTGCCGGGGGTCTCCTTTGCTTGCCACCCCCTCAAACACTCCTCATTGCTCCGCTGGATTAAGCCAAAGGGCACTGCAATCCCCTGACTCCAGGAGCTGGAGATTTGCAAAGGCAAAAGCCGCCTAAAAGGAGAGCTGGGGAATCAGCCCTGGGTGGCCCCCAGTTTATTGGGGTGCAGGCAAGAGTTCCCCCAGCCCAACGGCCACCGGTGAGCATCCTCCTGCCACCACGCTGGGATGAACATGGTCCAAAAAACCCCTCCCCAGTATCTCCAGTTTCCCCAGTTGTTAAAAATGAGGGGGGGTGATGAGCCCCAGTGAGACCTGGGCATGTAGCCTCCGGAGCTGGCTTGCCCACCGTGTCCCTCCAGGACCCCCCAGGACCGGTGGGGGACCCCAGTGGGGATTGTCACCCCCGGGGAAAGTGTCCCCAGGGTGTCCCCAAAAAGTCACCGCCGCTCGCCCGCCCCGTCCTTCCCGGCAGTCGCGGGGAGAGCAACCCCCGGGGAGACGAGGGGGGGGGGACGGGACACACACACACACACGGAGTGACACCGGGCCTCCCGCCACCGGAGGTGGGGGGGAAAGGGGTGATGAGTCTCCCACCTCGCCGGGGTCCCCCGCCAAACTTCGCTTGGTGCCCGCAGCCCCCCCCCGGGACCGTACCCGGTGCTGCACCGTAAACCCGGTATCCCCGGGGCGGGCAGCGCGTCCCGGTGCCCCCCTTCCTCCTCCTCGTTTCCTCCCGCTGCCCTCCGGTCCCCCTCCCCCAGTTCACCCCCGGAGGCGGCGCATCCCGGTGCCACCGCGGTTCTCACCTGCGCGGGGCGGCGGGCGGACGAACAGCGGCGGCGGCGGGCCCGGGACCGGAGCGGGGCGGGGGAAGCGGAGCCGCCGTGCTCTGCGATATAAATAACATTATCTGGGCGCGCAGGGACATTCCTGCCCGGGGGCCAGCGGCGCTGCCCGGCCCAGATAGCCCCGCTCCCCCCAGGGAGGGCCGGGCGGAGGCGGGCGGGGACGGGCCGCCCGCCCCGCAATGCAGCACAGCGGCCCCCCCCGGCCACCGCCGCCACTGGCACCGGCGACCCGCTGCCACCGGGGGGGCCAGGGATGCCCGTCCGGTCCCGCTGCCCCTGTGCTTCCCCTCCCGGTAACTCGGGCTGCCTCCCCCCCCTCCTCCTCCTCCCCCCCCCCCCCCCAGCCGCCAGCCGTCCCCCAACTAGCCCAGGGTGCACCGCAGTTAGCCTTGGGCATCCCCCAGCCAGGCTTGGGTGTCCCCTACTAGCCCTGCCTCTCCCCCCACTAGCTCCCCTTGAGTAGCCCTGGCTAGCCCCAGATGCTCCTGGCTAGCCCTAGGGGTCCCTCAGCTACTCCCAGGCATACCCTCAGCTAGCCCTGGGTGACCCCCCCACTAGCCTCAGGCACCCTCTCAGCTAGCCCTGGGTGACCCCCCACTAGCCCCAGGCACCTTCTCAGCTAGCCCTGGGTGACCCCCCACTAGCACCAGGCACCCTCGCAGTCAGACCTGGGTGACCCCCCACTAGCCCTGGGGATCCTCCAGCTAGTCCTAAGTACCCTCCCGTTACTGCCAGGTGTCCCCCCATAAGTACCCCTGCTTGCCCCCAGCCCCTCCTCAACTCCATGCTGTCTCCTCTAACCCTGAGGGGGGCTGCAGGGACCGGCTCCAAGCCCCATCCCAGCCACCCCGCCTTGCCCGAGGTGCTGCCCCCGAGGCCCAGCCCGGGGCTGGGGGAACCACAATGCCGGTGACGGGTCCCGGGGAAGCTGGGGCCGCCCCAGCCCGCACCCACCTCCCCTTAACTCTGCCCCCGGAGGGGGCTGCCGCTGGCCCCACCCCTCAGCCTAAGCCCCACCCCACCCCAAGTCCTGCCTAAATACACACCCCAAGCCACGCCCGCCCCAGTCCAAGCACCGCCCACACATACACGCCCCACACTCAAGCCACGCCCTCTCTACACCAAGCCCCGCCCATATCTATAACATTACCAACGCCCAAGAACCGCCCCCCAGACCAAGCCACGCCCTCCCCGACACAAGCCCCCGCCCATCTATACATGCTCCACGCTCAAGCCACGCCCTCAGCTCACGCACCGCCCATATATAGGCTCTCCACGCTCAATCACCGCCTTCCCCACCCAAGCCCCGCCCACGCCCACACTCTCCACACTCAAACCCCGCCTACCCTGGCCCAAGCCCCACACATCCACACACTCTCCACGATCAAGCCACGCCCACCCCAACCCAAACCCCGCCCTCCCCACACCAAGCCACGCCCATATTTATTTTACCCCATCCCCGCCCACAAGGCGGGGCTATCACCACCACTACCACACCCCCTCCGCTAAGCCCCGCCTCTCCTCGGAAGCCTCGCGAGATCTGCGTGGCGGCGGCGGGGCGATGTGCGGGGCGTGCGTGGGCACGGAGTACCCGGAGCGGGTAGGCCGCGGGCGCCGGGCCCGGGGGGGCCGGTGCCGGTGCCGGTGCCGGTTCCAGTTCCAGCCCCGCCTTGCCGCCCTTAGGGCACCACCTGCCTGGAGGGCGGCTCCTTCCTCCTCAACTTCGTGGGGTGCGCGCAGTGCGGGCGCCGGGACTTCGTGCTGCTCGGCAATCGGGCCGCCGGCCTGCATGGCGGGGACGAGATCGTCACCTACGACCGTGCGCCCGGGGCGGGGGGGCTGTGGGAGGGTTCGTTTGGGGGGGGAGGATTTGGGGGCTGTGTGTGTGTGGGGCCTGTAAGGGGGTTAATTTGGGGAGGGAGGATTTGGGGGGTTAGAGGGTTAACTTGGGGAGGGAGGATGTGGGGGGCCTGTGAGAGGGATAATTTGGGGGCAGCGAAGGGGTTAATTTGGGGAAGGAGGATTTGGGGGGCACTGAGGGATCATTTGGGGAGGGAGAATTCGGGGGCTGGGGGGCAGTGAGAGGGTTCATTTGGGGAGGTAGGATTTGGGGGCTGTGGGTGGGGGGGGCCTGTGAGAGGGATGATTTGGGGGGCAGTGAGAGGGTTAATTTGAGGAGGGAGGGTTTGGGGGCTGTGGGAGGGAGGATTTGGGGTCTGAGTGGGTGAGGCAGTGAGAGGGTTAATTTGGGGAGGGAGGATTTGGGGGGCAGTGAGAGGGTTCATTTGAGGAGGGAGGATTTGGGGGCCTGATACTTGGAGGGGGGAAGTGATTAATGGTCCTGGGGGGGCAGGGGCGGGGGAGGTGATGTCCAGAGGGGATCTTAAGGCTTGGGGACAGGGTGGGGGTGTCAGTGAGCTGCTGGTGGTTAGGGGTGTGGAGGGGGGAGTTGGGGGGTTTGATGCTCAGGGGGTGGGGGTGGGGGGTCAGTGCCCCAGGGAATGAGAGCTGGCAGAGAGGATGGGGACTTGTCCCCAAGGGACTGAGGGGATTTTAGGGGGGAGACCCCCGGGCTAGCAGTGCCAGGGCTGGGAGCAACCGCATCCCCTCTCCTCCACAGACCTCTGCAAGAACTGCCACCACCTGATCGCACGACACGAGTACACCTTCAGTGTGGTGGATGACTACCAGGTACCCCCCGGGGGCAAACTCCGCCTCTTCCCCTCCTTGTACAGCCCCTCTCCCCCTTCAGAAACCCCCGCCAAAGCTGAGCCCTGAGCTGATCCTCCACCTCCAAATTTCCAAACCCCAGCCTGGCTGATTCCCGTCTGCCCTGGCAGCCGCAGGAGGGAGCCAGGCCACTTCAATCCTTGTAGCTGGGCTTGACGTTTTCAGAGCCACATCCCTGTGCTCAGGGCTACCTGGAGCCCCTGCTTTGAGGGTGGGTTGCCCAGCTCACCTCTGGCCTCTCACACAGCCCCTGCATGGGGCCAGCGGCTCTCCCAGCCCTCCTCCCTGGCACATTTCCTATTCAGCAGCTAAACACTGGAAAATGGGCTTGGGAGAGGCGGTGGAGGCTTGTCCTGGGGGACGAAATGAGATCCCCCCCAGGTCTGATTGCAATCGAGGATCGGGTGCCGGCACCGGCTCGGGTTTCCCTGGCTGTGCCCGGAGTGGGGCTGCAGCAAAGCACGGCTATGGCAGCTCCCCCCCCCCTGCTTTGTTCTGTCCCACTGCAGGAGTACACCATGCTGTGCCTGCTCTGCGGCCGGGCGGAGGACTCCATCAGCATCCTTCCCGACGACCCTCGCCAGATGACCCCGCTCTTCTAAAGCCGCTTTGTATCCCGGTGCGTGTCCCTGGGTGCCCCAGGACCTCCCTCCCCACTCCCTGCCACACGGGACGGCGGCACCGGGCTGTCCCTGGGAACCCTTATGGGTGTCTCTTCTCCAAACCTCCAGCCTGGATGTGGTGGATGCCTGATGCCGGATGCTCCCGCGCTCCCGGCAGTGGCTCAGCCCTGCAGCCCTGATCCCCGCTGTGGGGACGGGGTGGAACACCACAGCCTGAGCCCCTCCACTGTGTGCTGAAGACATGAAGGGGGTCCAGCATCTCATCACCCCAAAAAGGGGTCCGAAAGGATGCCTGTCCCATCCTGCCTCAGGAGCCCACGTGTGTGGGGGCAATAAATGTGATGTGTTACAGCTCGGTGGTGCAGGCGGGAGCGCTTTGGGGGGTGGGCTTCAGCCCCCTGCGCTCCCCATCGCTGGGGTAGGGTGGTGGGGCCCAATGGAGGGGATGGGGGGGGGTTTCTTCCCAAAACCCTGTGGGATTCCTCCTCCTGTAGCAGATTTGGCTCTTCCCCGCATCCCCGAGCCCGCTCTGCTCACTGCGCTCTCCCAAACCCTGCTGAGAAGTGACTGAATTGTTCTAGGTCTCTCGGGAGCTGTGTGGAGTCCCACCCCACCTCCCCGCCCTGCCCTCAGGGCCCATTTCCCTGGGCTGTGTAACCCAGCCCTGCCAGAGAAGGGAGCCGGGCGGGGGGGGGGGGGGGTGATGCCTGTTCCCAAAAATCCCTCCCCTGGGGTGGGAGTGCCACTGCTGGCACCCAGCCCCGGCAACACCCGTGGGGAGCTGGGTGCTGCTGGCCTGGCACCTGCTCTATCCCTGCACGACCAGTTCCTGGATCCAGCACCCTGGGGCTGCCTCCCTCCTTCCCACCCCACGGCTCATCCCTAGCAGTGTGCCCCCCAGCCCTCCCCAAAACCACACGGACGCGGGCACGCTCCCTCCGGCTCATTTATTGCCGCCAGCCCGCGCCGCCCCGATTGCCCCAGCCTTCTGCCCGCATCGAGCCCCCTCCCCGTGGCATTTTCAGAGGGGGCTGTCACCCGGCGGAGAGCTGGGGCTGTCCTGGGGGCGAGGGGGATGCCGGAGCCGGCCCTACTTGGCCAGTTTGAGGAGACGCTGGATATCGGGCTCCAGCTGGGCGGTGGGCGTGCGGGGGCTGTAGCGCCGGAAAGGTTCCCCTTCGGGACCCACCAAAAACTTCTCGAAGTTCCAGGAGATGTCAGAGCGTCGAATGGGGCTCCAGGTGAGGAAGCGGGGCTCGGCCATCAGGTGGGCCGCCTCGTCGGCCGGCGCGGGCAAGTGAGCTTTCAGGTAGGCGAAGACGGGGTGGGTGTCGTGCCCGTTCACCTGGCACTTTTGGAAGAGGGTGAAGTTGGGCTCAAAGCCGCCCCCCGGCCGCACATGCTTCAGGCTGTTGAGGATCTCCTCGTTGGTGCCGTTCTCCTGCGGCGGGGAAGGAAAAAGCCCGGGTTGTGCCATGTTTCCCCCCTTTTTTCTCCTCGCACCCAGGGCTGGGCACTGCCGCGGCTTGTCGGCGACTTACCTGGTAGCCAAATTGATTGCAGGGGAAGCCCAGCACGACCAACCGGCGGGGATAGCGGGTTTGGAGCATGTTGAGCTGGGTGTAATCCCGCACCGTGGTGCCTCAGAGGGACGCCACGTTCTCGATGAGGACCACGCGGCCCCGGAAAACGTTGAAGTCCACCTTCTCCCCCAGCAAGGAGGTGGCACTCAGGTCGTAGAAGGACTTGGCGATGGGGATGGTCATGGCTGCGGGCGAGCGTCTGCCTTCCCCCGTGCGCCCGTCGGGGTGCCTTAAGGGCTGCCTGGTGCCCCACGTGATGCGCCGGTTCCAAAGGTCTCTTCGCCCTGCCGTGACTTGGCAGAAACCGGAGCCGTCCCCACCCGCTGGCACCCACCCGGGGGGGGGGGGAAGGAAGAGGCAGGGGAGGGTGTGGGGCCAAGGTGCTGCTCCTACCTGCCTCAATAATTCATGGTGTGGCACGGCTGCTCTTCCCCATACCCTCGAGGTGTGGGATGCTGGGGGGGGGGAGGCTTGGCACCTCCAGCCCTGCACGGGCCATCCGCGAGGGCTGGGATGGAAATAACGGGACTCCGGGAGGTGGAGCTGCACAGGGCGACTCACACCAAGGTGGGAAATGGGGAGAGCGAGCGGGTGCCCCACAGTTTTTCCCCAGTGCTGTTTTGGCATTGGGGCTTCCTGTGCTCGCCGTCCCGGTGCCTGCTGCTGTCCCCCCAGTCCTGGCGCCCACTGGTCCCAGTGCCAGCGGCCATCCCGTTGCCTCCCACCACGCCGTTTGACCGGTGCCCCACCGGACCCGTTCCCCTCCCCAGCCTGGAAAGGGGACACCGTCCCGGCAGCCCCGGAGCAGCCTCAATTATTGATAACCGCTCGGGTTGCTGCGGCACGGCTCTGCCTGTGGCACGTTGCCCCACGCGCTGGGGGAGGGGGGGGGGGCGGCTCCCGTGGGGTGCAGCACAGCAGCGTGCCCACAGTCCCCCCCTCCTGCACACACACACACACCCACCCCTCCAAGGTAGCATATGAGCCACTGGCTACCTCCAACATCACCTTTATTCTGCAAATTGCACGTGTGTGTAAAATGGGGGGGGGTAAGGGGGGGAGGGTTGGGCACACAGCGCCTGTGACACACCCCCACCCCCCCCACCCCCCCACTGAGGGGGAGTGTGGGTGCCAGGATGGGTGGGGGGCACCCCCATAACACCTGCCTGTCCCCCCACCCTCCTCGGGGTGGGGGGGTGTGTATGTCCTGGGTTGCCACCAGGCTCCTGCCACCCTCCTCCCCCCACCCCCCCCCCCATCGGGGCTGCCCCAATCCTGCACCTGCTGTGCCCCTCCCCTCCCCCCCCCCCAACACAGCCTGGGGGTGGGGGGGGGTTAAGGGGCGGCCCCCCCAGGCTTCAACACCAGCAGGCTTTGGGGTTGTCCTCGCTCCCCAGGGGCTGCTGCTCATCCTCATCCAAGCGGGCCAGGGTGGGGGTGCGGGGGGGGCCCCGCAGCCCCTCCAGCTCCTTGCGATGCGCCTGCAGCACCAGCTCCGTCAGCCGCGTGAAGGACTGTGGGAGAGGAGGTGGGGGGGGGGGGGCGTATCTGTGAGCTGGGGGACCCCCCCCCCCGACCCCCATCCCCCCCCAAATTGTGTGTGTGTGTGTGTTTGTGTGTCCCCCCTCCCCGCACCTCCTTGATGTTCAGGTTGCTGCAGGCGCTGGTCTCGTAGAAATCCATCCCGTACTCCCTGGCCAGCTGCAGGGTGAGGGGCCGGCGGCAGCACCGTGATTTTGGGGGGGGGGGGGGAGGGTGGTCCAGCACCCCCAGCCCCCATTTTCCCCCCCCACCCCGCTGCCAGGATGTGCACAGCTGTGGTGGCACTGGGGGGCGGGCACGGCTGGCATAAAGGCATCCCCTAGGGCTGGACACTGGAGTGCAGGGGTCCTGGGGGGGGCTACTGGGTGTTTTGGGGGGGGTCCTTGGCCATGCTGGAGGTGGGGGGGAGGGTTTGGGATGAGGGTCCCCAGGGGGGTACAAAAAGGTTTAAGAGCAGTCCTGGGGGTGCACAGGCACTGTGGGGGGGTGCCTGGAGTCACTGGGGGGTGCAGGAGGCTGTGGGGGGGTTGTCACTGGACACACTGGGGGCTGTGGGGGGTGTTGGGGTCCCTGGCTACAGAGGAGACTGCAAAAGTAGGGGGGTGGGTGGGAGGGGGGCCTCTGAGGATATTTGGGGTGCTGGGGGGCATCCCCGGACACAAGCAGGGCTGCAGGAAGGTTGTTGGGGTTCCTGGAGAGTGCAAGGGGGGGCCAGGGGGGACTCTGGACATGCTGGGGGTGCGGGGGGGGGGGCGGGCCTGGGCCACCCTAGGGGTGCAGGGGAGGGGGGACCCTGCCCTCCCGGGGGAGGGGGGCACACGCCAGCCCCCGCTCACCTGCAGCCCTTGCTCTTTGGCCACTTGCCTCTTGTGCTCCTCGTCCGCCTTGTTCCCGATAAGGATTTTCTGGACGCCGTCGGGCGCGTACTGGGGGGGGAAGGGGGGGCGGCGTGAGGGGACACCCCCCACACCTTGGTGGGGGGGGTTGGGGCACGATGACACCCTCCCAGACCCCTGCACCCCTCACCTCATCCACGTCGCTGGCCCACTTCACGATGTGCTGGTAGGAACGCTCACTGCTGATGTCGTACACCAGGAAGATGCCCTGCAGGAGAAGAGGGGGGGCAGCCATTTACGCCCCCCCCCTCACCCCCCACCCCGTGCCTCAGTTTTCCCTCTCCCATGCACCAAGATGGGGGGATCCCTCTTCCCCCCCCCCCAATTCATACCTGTGCCCGCCGGTAGTACTGCTTGGTGATGGTCTGGTACCGCTCCTGCCCTGCTGTGTCCCTGCAGCCAGGGAGAATGGGTCAGCGCCGCCACCCACAGTACGAGTTGATCAGGGCTCAGCCCCCCACCCTGCTAAGGTGGGGGGGGAGGTGTCACAGGATTCAGACCCACCCCACTCCCCCCACCCCCAAATCCTCCCCCCCAGGCCTCGCACCAGCACTCACCAGATCTGTATCCGCACCTTAATGCCGTCCACCTCGATGGTCTTCATCTTGAAGTCGACGCCTGAGATGGGGGGGGGGAAGCATTTATGGGGGTGCCCTGGTGTGTCCTGTCCCCCTTCCCCAGTCCCCTCACCCCACACCCCCCCAGCCTGGCCCGCTGCCCCGGTAGCAGCCCGGTGCCAGGCCTGGCAGGCGGCCCGGGTGCTGGGTCACTGTGCGGGTGCTGATCCCAGCCCCCGCTGCTGGAAGGTGCTCCCAGTGCTCCCTGTACCCCCACTTTTGCTGCGCTGGAGCTCCCCAGTGCACCCCATTCCCTGGTACCCCCAGTTTCCCGGTTGCTCAGTGTTCATGGTTTTCCCATTCCCCAGCACCCACAGCTCCCAAATGTTCCCGCTTCCCCAGCACCCACAGTTTTCCCGTTCCTCGGTGCCCACGGCTCCCCGGTGCTGTGCCTGCCCAGTGCTCCCAGTTCCACCCATTTTCCCATTCCCCGGTGCCCACAGCTGCCCGGTTCCCGCAGTTTCCCAGTTCCCTGGTGCTCCCGGTTCCCCCGTATCCACGCTCTTCCCATTGCCCGGTGCCCACAGCTGCCCAGTTCCCCCAGTTTCCCATTTCCCTGGTGTCGTGCCTGCCTGGTCTCCCAGTTCCCTGGTGCCCATGGTTTTCCTGTTTCCCGGTGCCCACAGCTGCCCGGTTCCCACCGTTTTCCCGTTCCCTGATGCTCTGCCTGCCCGGTGCTCCCAGTTCCCCCATATCCATGCTTTTCCTATTCCCCCGGTGCCCACAGCTCCCGGGTGCTGTGCCTGCTTGGTGCTCCCGGTGCCCACGGTTTTCCCGTTCCCTGGTGCTGTGCCTGCCTGGCGCTCCCGGTTCCCCCATATCCATGCTCTTCCCATTCCTCGGTGCCCACGGCTCCCCTGTTCCCCAGTGCTGTGCTTGCCCGGTGCTCCCGGTTCCCCGGTGCCCACGGTTTTCCCGTTCCCCGGTGCTGTGCCTGCTTGCTGCTCCCAGTTCCTCAGTGCCCACGGTTTTCCCGTTCCCCGATGCTCTGCCTGTCCGGTGCTCCCGGTTCCCCAATCTCCCCATTCCCTGGTGCCCACTGCTCCCCGCTTCCCCCACTTTCCCATTCCCCTGGTGCTCCGGCTCCCAGATCACTCCCGGTTTCCCGGTGCCCACGGTTTTCCCGTTCCCTGGTGCTGTGCCTGCCCGGTGCCCCCGGTTCCCACGCCTGTTCATTTTCCCTCGGGAGCCGCTACTCGCCGCCGTTCCCCCGCTCCCCGGTACCACTGCTGCCGGCTGCTCCCCGCTCTCCCCCCCCCCCGCCTCCGGTTGCCGGTGCCGGTAGTACCGATGGTGGAGATGTGGGCGGGGTGGAACTGGTTGTCGGTGAACCGGCAGAGCAGGCAGGTCTTGCCCACGCCCGAGTCCCCCAGCAGCAGCAGCCGGAAGAGCACGTCGTACTGCTTGGCCATGGCGGGCCGGGCCGGGGCCGGGGCCGCCGTTACCGGGGGCGGGAGAGCTGCGCCGCCGCCACCGCCGCGCCGGGCTGGCACCGGGGCGGGGCGCGGGGCGGGGGCGAGGCACCGGGGATGGAGGGGGGGGGGGGGTGGGGGGGGAGAGAAAAGAGGAGAAGGGGGGGGACACATAGACACGCGGAGGATGCACCGGGGGGACACACCGGGGGGTGGGTTGGGGTACCGGGAGGGGGATGCGGGTTACCAGGAGATACTGTGGGGAGTGGAGGGGATGCACCGGGGATGCACGGAGAGGGAGGTGGGGGGATGGTGTGGGGAGGCGGGAGGACACAGACACACCGGGGGGGGGGGGGGGGCACCGGGGATGGTTTGGGGTACCGGGAGCAGGATGTGAGGTACCGAGAGATGCTGTGGGGAATGGGGGAGACACACAGACACACCGGGGGGGGCACCTGGGATGGTTTGGGGTAGCGGGAGGGGGGATGCTGGGAGGGGGATGTACCGGGAGATGCTGGGGTGAATGGGGATGGACACACACACATAGCGGGGGGGGACACTGGGGATGGTGCGGGGTACCGGGGGGGGGGACACGAGACGACACACACACAGACACACCAGAGGTGGGGGCCACCGGCGGTGATTTGGGGTACCAGGAGGGGAGATGAGGGGGGTGGGGAGCGTCGGGAATGGGCTGAGGAACAGGGACGGGGGGGGAGACACACTGGGGGACACCGGAAGAGGCTGGGGGGGGAACCAGGGACACACACACCCCCCCCCCCCCCCCCCAAGAAGAGAGTGGGGGACACACGGTTGCAGTGGGGGGCTCAGGGGGACACAGGGCCCGGGGGGACCCCCCGAGGGGCTGGGGGGGCAGCTGGGGCTGCAGCGGGGGACAGCGGGGTGACCCCGGGGCTGAGAGACCTGCAGTGGGGCAGGGGGGGCCCGGGACAACGCTGCAGTGGGTGCTGGGTGCAGTGTTGGGTGCAGTGCAGGGGGTGCAGTGCAGTTCTGGGTGCAGGGCAGCACAGGGTGCTGGGTGCTGGATGCAGTGCAGGGTGCGGTGCAGTGCTGGGTGCAGTGCAGTGCAGTGCAGGGTGAAGTGCAGTGCTGGGTGCAGTGCTGGGTGCAGTGCAGGGGGTGCAATGCAGTGCTGGGTGCAGGGCAGCACAGGGTGCTGGGTGCTGGATGCAGTGCAGGGTGTGGTGCAGTGCTGGGTGCAGTGCAGTGCAGTGCAGGGTGTGGTGCAGTGCAGTGCTGGGTGCAGGGCAGCACAGGGTGCTGGGTGCTGGATGCAGTGCAGGGTGTGGCGCAGTGCTGGGTGCAGTGCAGTGCAGTGCAGGGTGCGGTGCAGTGCTGGGTGCAGTGCAGTGCAGTGCTGGGTGCAGTGCAGGGGGTGCAGTGCAGTGCAGTGCTGGGTGCAGGGCAGCACAGGGTGCTGGGTGCTGGATGCAGTGCAGGGTGCGGTGCAGTGCTGGGTGCAGTGCAGTGCTGGGTGCAGTGCTGGGTGCAGTGCAGGGGGTGCAGTGCAGTGCTGGGTGCAGGGCAGCACAGGGTGCTGGGTGCTGGATGCAGTGCAGGGTGCGGCGCAGTGCTGGGTGCAGTGAGGTGACACTGCAGCGGTGATGCCGCGCAGGGACACCCTGGCATGAGGCGGCACCCAGGGACGACGCGGCGCCGGGGGTGATGATGTCACGCAGTGACCCAGTGCGAGGGCGCAGTGTCGAGGCCACACACTGCCGTGATGCAGCGCGGTGATGCAGAGCCACCCGCTACAACGACACGACACAACGCAGCGCAGCGCCGGAGCCCGATGACGCCACACAGCGCGGCAGCGCCGTGACGCCGCGCCGCTGCGATGACGCAATAAGGCAGCCCGGCGCAGCGCCGAAACCAAGGCCTGACGTCAGACCGCCGTGAAGCACCGCCCGCTCTCCCAGCCGGCTCCTCCGCGCATGCGCCTGGCGGGAAAGGCGTGGCGAGGGGGCGTGGGCGAACGGGGAGGGGGGCGTGGCGAGGGGGCGTGGCCGCGTGTCCCCGCCCGGCCGCCGTCGCCCCGCTGCCCCCGCCGGCGCGAGCCGCCCGCAGCATGGCGGGAGCCGCCTCCTCCCCTCCCGGCGGGCGGCGGCGGCTGCGGCTGCGGGACGACGGGGTGCGGAGCGACACCTCCGCCGAGCAGGTGCGGGGCCGCGGGGCGCCCTGGGGCCGGCCCTCAGGGTCCGGGGTGCCGTGGGGCAGGCCCTCAGGGGTGGGGGCGCCGTGGGGTGCCCTGGGGCTGGTCCTGAGGGGGGCAGGCAGGCTGCTGGGGGGGGCCGTGGGGCTGGTCCTGAGGGACGAAGGTGCCGTGGGGTGCTCTGGGGCCGACCCTCAGGGGTGAGGGTGCCGTGGGGTGCTCTGGGGCCGACCCTCAGGGGTGAGGGTGCCGTGGGGTGCCCTGGGGCCTGTTGTGAGGGGTGAGGGTGCCCTGAGACTGGTCCTGAGGGGACCAGGCTTCTGTGGGGGGCCGTGGGGCTGGTCCTGAGGGATGAAGGTGCCGTGGGGTGCCCTAGGGCCGGCCCTCAGGGGTGAGGGTGCTGTGGGGTGCTCTGGGTCTGGCAGTGAGGAGGTGATGGTACCATGGGGCTGTCCCTCTGGGGCTGGGGTGTTGTGGGGTGCCATGGGGCTGGCCCTGAGGGGAAAGGGTGCTGTGGGGAGCTCTGGGCCTGGCCCTGAGGGGGCCAAGCTGCTGTGGGGCTGGCTGTGAGGGGCCAGGCTGTGGGGTGCTGTGAGGCTGACCCTGAGGGGGCCAAGCTGCTGTGGGGTGCCAGGCTGTGGGGCTGGGTGATCCCTGCCCCAGTTCCACCCCACACCCGCCTGTTGCAGCAGCTTGGGCACCTGGGGTTTTGGGGGGAGTGCAGCTGCCACTGGGGGACACCCATTGGGGGCTGTGACGTGTGTCCCCCCAAACCAGCTCGGGGAGGGCAGGGGGGTCCTGGGGTACAGCCAGACCCTCCCACCCTGCTCCGCCTGATCCGGTCCCAGTGGTGGCTCCCCCGGGCCTGGGACGGGCCCTGACAGGGTGAAAGGTGACACTGGAATTTCTCAATCTGTGGGGTGTCCCCACTTGCCTCTGTCTCAGTGGGACACAGTGCCTGTGGAGGGGGGGGCTGCCCATGTGCCACCCCCCCTGCCAAAGCCTGTGGTGTTTTCTGGAGGTCCATGAGGATTACCCCAGCCTGGGACATGCCAGCCAGGGTGCTGCGTGTTAAGCTCAAGTCTAAAACAAGGGGACGGTGCCTCAAGTCCCCGATTAGCCAGCAATGGTGTCCCGGTGTTAGTGGGAGGAGGAGGGTGAGGCCAGGGTGTTTTATGAGGGGGTCCCAGGACGAACCAAACTCTGTTTTTAAAAGTGCTGCGTTTAAAAAGCAACACCGGATGGTGCTCAAGTCTAATCCCGGGTGCAAAGCTCCTTGGCAGCTCCCACTAAGCCGCTCTGCGGGCAGGCAGGACCCAGCAGCTTTCGGTTGCTTGGGTTTTCCTGGAGAAAATGATGAGACGGCGCTGCCGTGAGCTGGATAAACCCCTGGGATGGGGCAGGAGCATTCCTGGGCTGGACTGGGAGCCAGGGATCACGTTCGGGAGGGGCAGAGTTGCTTTCCAGAGCTCACCATGGTCTTTATTTCCTCCCCCCCTACTTGTCCTCATCCCATGCACCTCCATGCTGTGGCCGGCGGCAGAGCAAGGTGGAAGACATTGTGCAGGAGGTCTACAACACTTTCACAGCGAACCATCACATCTCACAGTAAGTTCCTGCAGCAGAAACTCTCAATAACAACAAATAAATAACACCCTCCCCAAAACCAGTGACTCCAGTGGCTGCCAAGACCCACAGCAAGGGACTGGCTGATCCCACAGGCATTCGGGGGGATCCTGCCCCTTTTCCCACAGACACAAGCCCTGAGCATGGTGGCATCAGCTCAGGGTTTGTGTCCCTTCTTGGCGGGGCTGTCCTGGCTGCTGGCGCGTTGCCTGCTGAGCCCTGCCCTGCCTCATCTTCCAGACTCGTTCTGCACCGGGAGAAGCACCTCCATTACCTGAAGAGAGGCCTCCGGCAGCTGACTGAAGCCTACGAGGTACCACCAGTCCTGCCCCAGAGCTGCCAGCTCTGCTCTGCCCTCTGGCTGGGGCCAGCCCTCTGCCCCGGGGCTGCTGCCAGAGTTGTCACCGGGCCTTTACCGTCCCTGATCTGTCACTACCAGCCCCAGGGCAGAGGCAGCGGTTCCTTCAGTCCCCTTGGGTCACGCTCGTCCCTGCCGTGACGTTCCGGAGCAGCAGCTCTGGAGGTTTTCTTGTCTGTACCCTCTCCTGCGGGAGCTCTGCCTGCACCCCCAGCCCCTGCACCGCTCCCCGGCCACCCTGAGTGTCCCCTCTGGTCCCCGCAGTGTCTGGATGCCAGCCGCCCCTGGCTCTGCTACTGGATCCTGCACAGCCTGGAGCTGCTGGAGGAGCCCCTTCCCGAGTCAGTCGCCTCTGAGTAAGTGGCACCGGCACGGTGAGAGCTGGGGGGTGGGCGGGGAGGACCCCCACTGTAGACCCTGTGGTGGCCAGAGGCCCTGTGGGCCACCCACGTGATGCCGGAGGTGCCACCTCCCGCTGTCCCCGCGTGCTGGCGGGAGCAAAGGAGCGCTTTGTCTCCACCGCTGCTGTCAATGCCGCCTATTCTCACGCTCCGGCATCTCGTGACGGATGGAGATGGAGGGGGGAGAGAGAGATAACCCTTGGCTTTGACTGCCGGGGGGGCACTGGGGGGTTTAATGGGGCTGCCATGAGCTGTGGAGCCCCTCCTGTCAATGGGGGGGTGCAGGAGACCCTTGCCCAGGTGGGAAATGTCATCCCGATGGGTGGTAGGGGGTGAGGCTGGGGAGCACCAAGCCCCTTCCCCACCCTCCCCATCTCCCCGCAGCGTCTGCCAGTTCCTGAGCCACTGCCAGAGCCCCCAGGGTGGTTTTGGGGGGGGCCCCGGCCAGCACCCACACCTCGCCCCTACCTATGCCGCCGTCAACGCACTCTGCATCATCGGCACGGAGGAGGCCTTCAACGTCATCAACAGGTACAGTTGTTGTTGGTGGTGGGGCATCTGGTGTGGAGCTGGGGGGAGGCAGAACGTGTGGCCCCCACCTCAGTCCTGCCTCACAGCCCACTGGCTTTTGAAGGGAGAAGCTGCTGGAATATCTGAACTCGCTGAAACAGCCCGATGGCTCCTTCCTCATGCACGCCGATGGCGAGGTGGACGTCAGGTGGGCGAGCGCCGCGGTGGAGGTGGCAGGAGGGGGGAAAGTGGTTTTTCAGCCGCGGCTCTGAGCACCCATCTACCGCAGGAGCGCCTACTGCGCCGCCTCCGTGGCCTCGCTGACCAACATGCTCACCCCCACGCTCTTCGCTGGGACGGCCGAGTGGATCGCGAGGTGAGAGCCTGGGGGGGGGGGGGGGCACGAAACAGGGGTCTGGGGACACGCAGCGGGGGGATGCTCCCTTGTGGCCGTGTCATCCTGACCTCGTTGCTGGCGCCAGGTGCCAGAACTGGGAAGGCGGTATTGGCGGGGTGCCGGGCATGGAAGCTCACGGCGGGTACAGCTTCTGCGGCATGGCGGCCTTGGTCATCCTCAAGAAGGAACATCTCCTGAACCTTCGGCGATTGCTGGTGAGCGGCACCGTGCGTGCGGCTCTCGCTGGGATGGGGTGGGGGTGGGGGGGGGGGAGGTCATCCCTGTCCCCTCACCGGTGTCCACTCCTGTTTGTCCTATGCAGCGCTGGGCGACCGGCAGGCAGATGTCCTTTGAGGGTGGCTTCCAGGGCCGCTGCAACAAGCTGGTGGATGGCTGCTACTCTTTCTGGCAAGCCGGACTCCTGCCCCTGCTCCACCATGCCCTCTACGCCCAGGGTGAGTCGGCTGTGGTGGGGGGGTGGCTCCTGGCTTCCTCTGCCCTCCCCCCCCCCCCCCCCCGCCCCCCCCCCCCCAAACCAGCATCTCCAGGGAGGAGTGAAGGTGTTTTAGGGAGGGGACAAAGCGCAGAGTTAATTTGGGCGTTCTTGGGGGGTCACTGAATCACAGGTTTTTTGGCAGCAAGGCTCAACTGTCGACTGAGCCAACACCTTGTTGGTTCCTTGGTGGGGTGCAGGGAGGCCCTGAGGAGGAGGGGGGGGTTGCCACCTTTCTGAGGACCTCCCCCCCACCTCCAGGCATTTTACTGGTTTCCCCCTCTAGGTGATGAGGCGCTCAGCATGAAAGGCTGGATGTTCGACCAGTTGGCGCTGCAGGAATACATCCTCCTGTGCTGCCAGTGCCCGGCCGGGGGGCTGCTCGACAAGCCGGGCAAGTGAGTCCCAGTTTAGGGAGCTGTGGGCAGGGCTGAGGGGGGACCTGCCTGGTACCCCCAGCTCAGCACCCCACTATCCCCCTCCCCACCACCCCTCAGGTCCCGGGATTTCTACCACACGTGTTACTGCCTGAGCGGGCTGTCCCTCGCCCAACACTTTGGCAGCGGCGACATCCAGCGCGAGGTGGTCCTGGGTGTCCCCGAGAACCGCCTGGTAGGTGCTGGGCAGCACTGGGAGCTGCTGGAGCAGGCAGGGCTGAGCTCCCCGGCTTCCCCGACGCCCCAAAAAGCATTAACCTCCTCTTCCTCTCTTGCAGCAGCCCACGCACCCCGTCTACAACATCACTCCGGAAAAGGCGATGAATGCGGTGAAGCATTTCTTGCAGCAGCCCGTGCTCAGCCTGCAGCCAAAAGCTGCTGCCATTTAGGGGTCCCGCTGCCCCCCAACTGCGTGGAGCAGCCCTGCCTGGGGCTGGCGGGGAGCTGTCTCGGCGTGGAGAGGTAGAGTGAGGTCCTCAGGGTGCTAGCAATACCAAAAACCGGCCTGCTCCGTGGCCACCAGGTCCCACCACCGCTGTGCCGGGCAGCCCATTGCCCCTCCTGGCAAGAGCCGAGCTGGTCAAGGGGGCCACGCGGCAGAGCTTTTGGCATCAATAAACCCGAACCGACACCTGCCGTCTCCTGTGCAGGGGGAGGGCACCAAGCTGCCACCCCTGTCTGTGTCACCCATGGTGGCCCTGAGGGACACGGGGCAGGAGGTGACACCGAGCTTGGGCTGTTCCAAGGGGCTGCCTTGGTGCCACCTCCCCTCCCACTCCAAAAACACGCGGCTACCACGGGGAAAGGATAAAATAAGTGTGTTTTTTTTCTTTATTATTTATAGTCTTATAGTAAAGGGAAGCCTTAACTTGCAAGACAACTCTGGGCAGTATGTACAACATACCTTAGATTCATGGAATGAATGGCATCAAAATGGGGGGGGATGACACGGGATGGGGAGGGGGACAGGGTCACCTACGGGGTGGGGACGGGACACTAGAGTTCAGAAAATGCCACGGAGGTGGGGAAGGGCTGGGGTTGGTGTGAGGGAGGGAAGGAGGAAGGGCAGGATGGATGCACACGCGGACCCCCCGAGCCTGTGAAAAAAGGGGTGCAGGCACTGCCCCCACCCCCCCACCCCGCCAAGCTCTCATAGGTGCTGGGGGCAGGTGGAATTGCACACGCAAAAAAAAATAAATAGCGAGAGCCCCTAGCGCGGGTGGGGGTGGGGGCAGGTGCATCTCCTGGCCTTTTGGGGGGGACATAGTGGGATGGGGTGGGGGGGGGGCTGCCTGGCTCCTGCACAGCCTCACCCTTCAGCTCAGGACTGCCGTGGTCCCCGGGTATAAATAGAAACGCTCATATAAAATCAGAAGGGAGAGAGGAGAGAGGGGCTCACTGGTTGTAGGAGGGTGACAGGGGCCGTCTAGTGGCCCACCCGCGTTCCCCCCCCAATCTGTCGGGCGGGCGCTGTGGCGCCCTGCCTGGCCAGCTTTCCCCCTCCCCGGGAGTGGTGCGATTAGAGCAGGGAAAGGGCTGGGGCGGGCTGGGAAGCTGCAGTCCGAGAGCCTCTACGAGAGAAGGGAGAGAAGAGTCCTTACAGTGGTGGTGGGGCCCTGGGGGGGCCTAACTGGCCTCCATGCGCAGTTTCTTCCTGCTCTGCGGCTCGTCAGGCTCCGAATCGGAGCTGGAGTCGGAGCCGCCGTCGAAGGCGGAGATGGTGCTGCCCTTGGGGTTGGTGTAGAGGCTGTTGTCCGTCGAAGGGTAGTTGGCTTGCAGCTGGGCGCTCGACCGGGCTTTTTCCAGCGCGCGCACTGTAAGGCAGGGCCACTGTGTCACCCCCCTCCCCCTTTCCCAAAGCAGAGGGTGTGTGGGGGGCTTCATCACGGGTGTCACTTGCCCCCCCAGCTCTCACCTTGCTGCTCCAGGAGAGCGTTCTGCCGCTTGAGGTCATCGATGTCCTGCTGGTGCGTGTGGTTTTTCCGGCGCATGTACTGGATGTACTCTGTGGCTTTGTCCAGGATTTGGGCCCGGGATGCCTGTTGCAATAGTGGGAAAAAAGAGGCGAAATAAAGACCTAGTCCAGGGGGGGTTGGGGGGGAGTCACCGACAGCGTTCGGGCTGCCCCGGCCCACCCACGGCACGGCAGGGAGGATTGTGCTGTTGCTCCATGGTGCTGGCAAACTGAAGCCCAGCTCTTGGCCCCAGTGAGGACCCCCATGGCAGGGCAGGGTAATTTTTTTTGGGACCCCACTGTTGGTGCTCGGGGTGGAAGGTGCTGAGCTGTCCCCAACCAAAACGAGAAGCCACTGTCGCGCCAGGAGGCTGCCGGCGGGCAGAGCTGCCTCATGGCCCAAGCTGGAAGATCCAACCACACGATTTGGCCCTTCTTTCCCCCCCACCGCCAAAAAATAGAACAGGAAAAAAAAAAAAACCACACTGGCAGCTGGGTCTGGGCACAACCTGCCCCCAGGAATGCTGCTCGTTAGGCCCCGTGGGCAAAGCTGTCCTCGCTGGCGTGGCTTCCCTGTTGTGCCATGGAAATCCCTGTCGTGCTGTGGGCCAGGACGCCGGGTGGGCTCCCGCCGCGCTCCATAAACTCACCTTCTCTCCTTGGAGGGAGGGGACGGAGTCCCGCAGGCTGTGGAAGCTGTCCTTGATGTGGTCCCTGCGCTTGCGCTCCAGCGCGTTGTGATGAGCCCGTTTGTCAGCCTGGGTGGGAAAAGGGGAAAAAAAAGGGGGAGCCTGAGGGGAGAACCACGGCTGGGGGGTGCTGTGGGTACGGCCCGTCCAGCCCCAGAAATCAACCTGGGGTGGCGGAGGCGGGGAGGAAATATCTTCTTGAAGGTTTTGGCAGCTGCCCCTGCTTTGAGAGGAGGAGCTGGGCTGCCCGCCTTCACCCCAAAACCCCGGGGTGGTAGCGCCAGGGCAGGGGAAGGCGGTGGCTCCCGTTGCTTTCGGTTTCCCATGGGTGGCTTCCTGCTGCGGGGGCAGCCCCGAGCCCCGCCGTGCGGTAGCGGGGGGGCGAGAGGGGGCGCTGCACCCCCAAAATATGCCACCCCACCAACCAACCAGACATGGGCCCCCTTATCTGCCCTCTGCCAAGGGACACTGCCCCCCCCCCCCCAAACACGCGTCATACACCCCAAATACACCCCTGAGATCTGTGTGTATGTGTGTCCCGGGAGGGACACAGCTCCACAAGAGCCCCCAAAAAACACAACCTCCACCCTCCACAAGGACACAGCCCTACACAGAACCCCCCCCAGCAAGACACCCCCCCCTCCAAGAGAGACACCCCCAAACCCACAACCTCACGCTCCTTCCCCAGGAGCCCCAGCCCCAAGTCCACCCCCTCCCCCCAAATCCCCAGCCCCACAGCTTTCCCCCCCTTGAGAGACACAAACCCCATAGCTGTGTGTCCCCCCAGGTTCCTCCCCCCCCCCCAATCCCTCTGAAGACCCCCAGACCCACAGGTATGTCCCTCTCCTGACCCTCAGCCCCCTCTAATTCCCCCTCCCTCCCAAGAGCTCCAGCCCCACACGACGCCCCCAGACGCACGTTTTCCCCCCCAAAACACCCACAGGTGTTTCCCCCCGCCCCTCGCCCCCACGTGCTCCCGGTACCGGGGGCGGCAGCGACGTACCGCGGACTGAAACCTCGGCTGCTCCTCCTGAGGGGACCAGGCCGGCGGGGGAGGAGGAAGAGGAGGGAGGCGGGGGGGGGAGGGGGGGCACCGGGAAATGGGGCCGTAATGGGGGGGAAGGAGAGAGAAAAACCAAACGTTACCCCCCGCTACCCCTTCCCCGGAGCTGCGGGCGGCAGAGAAGGGGGGGGTTGTCCCGGTGGCGGGGACCCCGACTCACGTCACTCTCCACCTCGATGTCATCGTTGTCGCTCATCGCGACCGGCCGGGTGAGCCGCGGGCCGCGCCGCCACAACAACAGCGCGCAGCGCGCAGGCGCCGCCGGCCGCCCACGTGACCGCTCCCCACCAACCGCGCCCCCCCCCCCGCACCGTGCCCGGTGGTACGCGGGGGATTGTGGGTATGGGAGTCCGCAGAGGGAGGCGGGACGGGCATACTCGCTGGGCGAGGACTACAGGTCCCGGCGTGCACCGCGCCGGCGCGGTGCACGCCGGGACCTGTAGTCCCCGCCCAGAGGGGGCACTGACGCCTGTTCCCCCTCATGAAGGGCGGGCAGACCGCGACGACGCGAAGGCGGAGTAAGGCGATAGAGTTTTTATTGAGTCTGAGGGGAGCGAAAGGGGGGAGCGGGACGATTTGGATGTGGCACCTCAGGCGGTAAGTGGGGGCTCTGCGGGCTGTGTTTGGTCTGGGGGAGGGGCTGTGGGTGTAATTGGGGCGGGCGTGGGGGTGCAAAGCTGGTCTGAGCAGGGTCTGTGGAAGTTTGCGCCTGCTCGGGGGGTTTGGGCAGCTCCGGGGAGGTGCTGTGGTCCCTTCCCTCAAGTGCAGAGAGCGGTTGGGGCAGGGGGTGGTGAGGGGTGGGGGGACAGGACAAGGTGTCTCTAACCCAGCTGGTCCCCGTCATTTTTCGGCAGCTCATCCCCACTGGTGGCTTCTGCCGGCTGGTGATCATTGTCGCCGTCCTTGCCATCACCTTCTGAGCCAGTCTCATCCGAGTCGTCCTCCTCCAAGTAGCGGTACCCGCGCATCTTATGGCGCGGGCGGGGGATGCGGGGCAGGCGGTATGCCACGCGCCACGCCAGCTTGCGCTCCATCCACAGGTAGGTCCCCACCGCCACCGCCAGCGTCAGCAGCATGATGGAGAGCTTGGCCTGCAGGAGGGCAAACCGGGGGGGTTAACATGGGGCTGCACACACACACCCCCCCCAGACACACACACACACTCCGTGAGCCTGGCAAGCCCCGGTTGAAGGACGCTATGGGGATTGCTGCCCGCCCAGCTGCGCTCACCTTCATGGGCAGCCCCGACCACAGGTAGACGGTGAAGATCGCCAGGGCTTGCCACCAGTGGTAGATGGTGAAGATGAAGTCTTGGCGCTCCTTGTCCTCGTACAACATGCCCAGGAGGACTGCGCCGGGGGAGACCGGCTATCAGCGTCCCCCTCCTGTGCCGGTGTCCCCTCTCGGGGCACTGTTAGCAGGACCCAGCCGCTGTGGGTCTGTCCTGCTCCGAGCTGGGGACCACCAGGAGAGGATGCATCGGGGATGGGGGGGGACAACCTGGATGTGCCAGGGGACAAGAGAAGCTGTGTCGGGGGTCCTTCTCGGTACTCACTGCTAATGCTGGTCTTGTTGAGGGCGCTCCCTGTGCCCCAGAGCACGGCAATGGCGTAGAGCAGAGGCGCCTGGACGAGGTGCCGGGGCTCAGGTGCCCAGCAGAAGAGAGTCACCAGGAGGGCGGCGTGGATGAAGGCGCCGGCCAGCAGCGGGATCTGCCGCCGCAGGCGCAGCGTGCAGAGGGCCAGGCTGGAGCAGGCCGAGGCGGAGAAGCCGTAGGCCATGAGGAGGTACGCCAGCTTCTCCAGCCCCAGGGCACAAACACCATAGTTCTGCAGTGAGGCCAGGCTCAGCGTCACGCGGCTGGGCTGTCCCCGCTCTGTCACCCCCCGCCCTGTCCCCAGGCCCTACCAGAGAGAAGCTGGTGCAGACGAAAAGCACCTCGAAGCCGCTGTAGGTGAACAAGGGGAAGAGGTGACGCAGGCGATAGTCCCGCATGTGCTTGAAGGGCAGCTGGAAGATGTTCCCCCAGCCGATGCTACGCAGGTCGATCTCCTCCGTGGGCCGATACGCCGAGCCGCAGAGCACCAGGACCTGCCATGGGGCTGCGGGTGAGGCACAGCTGGCGTCTGCCCTGCCATCCCCTGCCCTGCCTGCCCTAGTGCTCACCACCAGCATGGCGAGGAAGGCGGCTGCCATCAAGACGCTCTCCACGATGATGAGGTTGACGCTGCGGGGCAGGCTCTGCAGCACCGTCTTGTTGAAGCCGGGCAACGTGCCGTAGCTCAGGGTCCCTGCCGGGGCCGGGGGAGGGGGAAAACACAGCTCAGCCCCAACCAAGGAGGTTCCCCGTGCCATCCCCTGCCACCGTGCCGCCCTCACCGCAGTGCTTCACCCCGAAGAGCGTGTGGTTGAGGTGGTAGAGGTAGTTGTTGAGGAAGAAGAGCATGGGCATCTGAGCGCAGACGAAGCTCAACTGGAAGAAGCATAGCAGGGGGGAGGATGCTCAGCCCCGGGCCACCCGGTGCAGCCCCCTGCCCCGTGCCCTGCCAGCCCTCACGTGGAAGCAGATGTAGAAGACGGTCTGGAAGACGATGATGTAGGCATTGCAAGCACCCCGCGGTGCCCGCTGCTGCTCCTGCACGTGCTCCTCCTTGTAGTTAACGTACTCATAGTACTTCTGGGCCATCCTGCGTGGCACGGCAGGTCAACTGAGGCTGCCCCAACCCCTCCCCACCCCCCACCATCCGCCCCCGCTGCTGCCTACCGCGTGATGTAGTTGCCCATGGAAGCCCAGAGGGGGACGATGGCCACCCCGATGGCCACGGCGGAGGGCACCAGCGTGTAGTAGCGCTCCCAGTAGTTACTGGAGACGAAGAGGGCGTAGATGCCCACTGCCAGGAACATGGCCCACTTGGTGCCGAAAAACCTGCCGGGGTGAGGAGGAGGAAGGGTGGGCGTCTGTGCCGGCGTGCCGGCGGGGAGCGCGGGCGGCGCCGAACCTGATGAGGACGGGCGTGTAGAGCAGCGCCGCGACGGGGGTGACGTTGATGCCCATCAGCACCTTGTGGTCAATGTCCTCCAGTTGTATGTTGCTGTATTTCACCTCCCGGTAAGTCTCGTCATAGTGTAGGATCAGCTGCATCTGCAGGAGGCCTGGGGAGGGCGGGGGGTGGCCAGTGGCTGTCACCTCCCACCCCAAACCATCGCGGGGGGGGGGGGGGCGTCCCCAGGGAGGAGGGGGAGTGAGGCTGTACCCAGGTAGACGCCGTAGGTGAGCGTGCCGGCCAGGCTGGCGGCCAGCACGTTCTTGACCACGCCGAGGCGTTTGCGGCGGAAATATTTCTGCTCCTCCTCCTCCTCGTTGTAGTCGGCGTGAGCACCCACAAAATCGTCCAGCTGCGGGTGACCCCCACCTGTCAGCCCTGGGGACGCCCACCACCAGCCCGGCCCCCATGGGTGTCCCCCCACTTTCCCCAGTCTCACCTGAGCTTCTGTCCCCTCGGCGCCCAGCCCGCCGCCCGCCACCGTCTTGGCCGCATCCTGGTAGCAGCTGGGGTCTTTCTCCATTGCTGCCTCTGCAGGGGGGCCTGCATGGTGTCAGGGGACCCTGTTGGCACCCCCAAGCCCTTCTACCCGCGTGTCTTGTACCCCCAGAGCTGCACCCAGGCCCCCAGCACCCCTAGCCCCTGCACCCATGTGCTTTACACCCCTGCGTCCCGCCACCCCTCAGCCCCTGCACCCGCGCCTTGAGCTCCCAGCGCCTCGCACCCCTGCACCCAGCACCAGGCACCCTTGCGCCCTGCACCCATGTGCTTTGCACCCCGGTGCTCAGCACCCCCGGACCCTGCTCCCCGGTACCGGAGCCGCGCGGGGCGGAGCGGGCGCCGCTTCCTCTTTCGGACGGGGCGGGTGGGATGGGGGGGGTTGTGTTTAAAGGAACCGCTCCTGCACCTCCCAGCACCCCGCACCCCCCCAGGGTCCCGCACCCCTCCTGTCCCACAGCCCCCCGGGACCCGGTCCCACCCTGCCTCCGCTACTGCCACCCCCAGCCCGCACCCCCCTCACCCGTGTCTGTCCACAGCACCCTGACAGCACCCATTGCACCCCACCTTTGCACAGCGCCCACCCCCTCCCGTGCAGCCCTCATTCTGCCCCCTGCACAGCCCCCCCCTCTCCCTAGCACCCCTATTTCCCGCCCCCCCCCAGCACTCCCACCAGGCCCTGGCGTGGGTGCTGCCTGCTCGGGGTGATCCGTGGCGCTGGGTGCTTGCCCTGCCCCGGGTCCTGCTGCTCTCGCTTCCCCTTCCCAGTCCGGGTGATGTGGCAGGGTGTCCAGGTGGGGGGGACCCCCCCCCCCCAGTTTTGTGGGGGACCTTCCCCCAGTTTGGGAGGTGCAGGGCTGCTCTGGAGGGGGTGACAGGACATACACCTCTCCCCATGTCACCCAAAACCCGGCGTGTGGTGATGGCGGGGTGCCTGCGGCCGTGCTGTGCCGGTGCCCCGGGGCAGGGTGAAATCTCCGTCATGGGGAGCCGGGGCAGGATCCGGCCCAGCCGGTAGCGGAGGATTCTTGAGATGTGGTGGAGGAGCAGCCAGCGCCACGTGGGGAGGGTGCTGAGGCCGTGGATCCCGCGGGATGAGGGGCCATGGCAGGGTGACACCCCCAAAAAGGGTGCAGGATGCGGTCCGGGGGGCTGCCAGGGAGCAACACCCACCCTGAGGCCCCTCTCACCCCAAAAAGGGGCAAATAGAGCCACGCCGGGGTGCCGGGGGGAAAGGACCCTTCCGGGGGGGCAGATTAGTGGCCCTGAACCTGAGTAATGGGGGGGGGGGGGGGGGGGGGGGGGGTACAGGCTGTGGGTGTGACCCAGTGTGCCCCCACTGGGGCAGATTTGGGTCCCCAGCACTGTGCAACCCCCAGATCTGCAGCCGCCTCCGTTTGGGCTCCGGTGCTGCTGTCAAACAGCTGGTCCCCGGCTTTTCCCCATCCCCAGGGGCCGCGTGGAGCAGATCCTCCCTGGGTGCATCCCAAATTGGGATGGGGGCACCCCGGTACCCCCCAGAAGCCCACTGGGGGTACTGATCCACTGCCGTCCCTTGTGGGTCTCTCCGGTGGATCTGCGGCATTGTCCGCGGAGGCAGGGGCTGCTCGGGGACGGCAGTGCCCCTCTCAAAAAAGGGGGCAGGGGGGAACCGTTCCCCTTTCCCTGAGAGAGGAGAGGGGGCTGCTGCGGGTCCGCAGGGGTGCGGTGACAGGGTGTGTGGGGCAGGGCTGCTGCCCTTCCTGTTTACCAAGAGGGGTAATTAGGGACGGGCGTGCGGGGAACTGGCGTCGGGGACGAGAGGGCTGCGGTGCCAGGAGGGAGGAATTGGTGCCAGCAGGCATGGTGAGGGTTCTGGGGTGGGAGTGGGCAGGAGACAGACCCTGTGGGTTCCATCGGGGTCCCCATGGGTCAGGGTGGGTCCTGGGAGCAGGATGATGGGTGCCTGTGGGCTCCCCGTCGGTCAGGGTGGCCCAAGGGGAGCAGGGTGAGGGGTGTCTGTGGGGTCCCTGTGGATCAGGGTGGTCCTAGAGAGTGAGGTAAGGGGTGTCTGTGGGGTCCCCATGGGTCAGGGTGGTCCCAGAGAGCAAGGTAAGGGGTGTCTGTGGGGTCCCCGTGGGTCAGGGTGGCCCAGGGGAGCAGGGTGAGGGGTGTCTGTGGGTCCCGATAGGGTCAAGTTTCTCAGTGGTGGTTTGGTGGCCACAGGAGTTCCCCAGAGCCACCGTCCCATGGGGGAGGTCCCATCCCATCCCAGGCCTTGTCACCACTGCCAGCTCCATGGAGGCGGGGTGCTGTGTCCCCACTGCCAGCCCCACAGAGGTGGGGTGCTGTGTCCCCACTGCCAGCCCCACGGAGGCGGGGCAAAGCCCTGCCCGCCCCTGGCCGTGGGGCCTGGCCACCGGCCCCACAGCATTTAGGAGGGGCACCCCAAGCCTCGGCAGTGACAGCCTGGCCTTGTGCTCCGTTCTCCACCACTCAGCTCCCCAGGTAAGCACTTTGGGGTCCCAGGGACCGGACACCCCCTCCCTGTGTGGCTCTGGCCCCACGGCTGGGCTTCTCCAGCCCCACGCAGGTGGAGGCTGTGGGGCACTGGGTGCCCCTCTGGGTGGGTTTCCTTGAGGAATGGTGGGTGCCTTGGGCATAGAGAGGGGCAGGGAGTAGCGGGGGGGGCAGATGTGGGGCTGCATCTCTGCCCCCCAACTCTGGGGGTGCCTTCTTTGTGCTGGTGGAGTGATGCTGTTGCCCAAAGATGGGCTGGGCTGCGGCAGTACCAGTGCTGGCTCACACAGCCCCACACCGGGGTCCCTGGAGACCCCCATGGGGCAGCCTGGGATGCTTCCCCACACCAGGAACTGACCCTACATCAGCAGGGTAGCCCGGACCGGAGGTTGGTGGCCATCCCAGAGTGTGGGGAGAGCCTGGGAATCTCAAGCATCCCCCGCCGGGCGCACCGGGGCCTCTGGCAGCTGAGTCACTCCACGAGCACCAAGCCACCCTTCAAAGGTGCCGCGGGCAGCCCCGGCCGGCTCGGGGCACGGGTGTCTTGCTGCAGGGTGACTCCTTCTGGGATCAAGCCGGCATCTCCAGCACTTCCACCCCTGTGTCTCTCCCCAGGGCCACCACGCTCTCCGTGGAGACCGGCAGCTCCTCGTCACACCTCGGCATGCACCAGCCCCTCGAGCCTCCTGGGCAGCAGCTCCCGGGTTACGGCAAGGGCAGTGATGCCGGGAAAGCTGCTGGATGCGGCGCGAGCAGCGGGAGCAGCGGCGGCATCGGGAAGGGGCCGGAGATCTGCAGCGCCCTAAGGTGAGAGCGAGGGGCCGGCGGGCAGAAGGGAGATGGGGCGCTTGGGGTGAGGTGGGCAGGGGGTGCTGTGGCAGTGCTGGGATCCCTGGGTTGGTGCTGATGGGGGGAGGTTGGGAGAAGTTTGGGGTCCGTGGGCCACCACACCCCAGCGTGGCCCAAGGGAGGAGATGAGGGACTGCCAGGAATGGTGCCGTAGGGGAGCTGCTCCCGGGAAGACTCAGGGTGTGGACTCCCTGCCCTCTCCCCAGGGACTCTGGGGCTCCACTTTGATGCTGGGCTGGGGCGATGCAGAGCTGGGATGATGTGGAGCTCCTCTCCATCCTCACTGGGAGCATGAGGGGCTGGGACAGGGCTGGGGTCCCTCTGACGTCCCCATCCCCGCAGTGGGAATCCCTACGCCGGGCTGGTGAGCCACCTGCGGGCAGCCTGGCTCTCGGGGAAGACGCGGCCCTTGGAGTACCGGGTGGCCCAGCTGGAGGCACTGGGACGCTTCTTGGATGAGAAGAAGCAGGACATCCTGGAGGCCACGGCCTTGGACATGAGCAAGGTGAGAGGAGGGGGCTGGGTGCTGGTCACCGGGGTGGTCCTTCATACCCCTCTTGTCTGAGTCTTGCATCTTCCTGGGTGCAGGTGTGGGGCTCTGGGCGTGGGGTTCCCCTCTTCAGTGTCGCGCATCCCTGTTGATGTGCTCCATGGCTGGTGTGGAGCACCCGTAGGTGCTGGGTCCCTGCAGAGCTCTCTGTAGCTAGGGTTAGCCGGACCACGCGGAGGGACCATGCTGCTGGGCAGGCTCGATGCCTCTAACCCCACCCCGGTGCACTTAAACTGGGCAAAGCCCCCATTGATCGATGTGAGGTGGGAACCTCAGCATTACCAAACTTCACCCCCCCTCATCGAGTCCCCGGTGGCTTCATGTGACCTCTGCAGAGGGTGATGTCCTGGGGTGCTCCTCGCCAGCCCGGACCCACCCAGGATTACCGGCCTTTTGCAACGTGCTGGTCTTGCACATTCCTCCCAGGGCTGCTCAGGGCCAGGGAAGCTCGCTGGCCTCGCAGGGACTGGTTTTGCTGGCACGGTGCTGAGCCGTGCGGTGGCACAGGCAGAGACCTGGATGTGGCTCTGGGTATTGCGGAAGCTTCCGGCTGATCTGTTGAGGAAGCAGGAGCGCTCTCAGCTCATCTCTTTTCTATCCGGCTGCTTCAAGACCCTTTTCTCCTCCTTTTTCCCTTGCGGATGTGTGCTGCAGCCCGCCGCATGCTCCGCTCACGCGGCATTAGGAAACGTTTCCAGGGGGATGGCTTGCCCCGGCGCAGCATAACTGGTTTTATCTGGTAGTGATAGCACTCGGCCCCAAAGGACTCGTGTCTGTGGGTATATCGGCGCAGCAGCCCATTCCCTCTGACATGGCTTTCAACATCCTGACATCTCCCAAGGCTCCTAATTGCCCTGTTTGTTTGAGGTGAGGGCCTTCTCCTTCAGCTGGGGCTTGATAGGCATCCACACTCGGAGTGCGTCCTTCATCTCTCCTAATTGTATGTAATTAGAGTCGGTTGTTTAGTAATATGCTTGTTATGCAGCCGGACCTTCATAGTTAGATGGACAATTCATCTGGTCTTACGTATCTGAGGTGGGTACCTCACCTCCAGGGATGCCAGTTTCTCTCCACTGATGATTGAAGGCACTCGGATGACCTCAGACTTAATGTCCCATCTTACAACCTTCAAGTCCAATCAAAACTCTTAATGGCCCATCTTCACCAGCGATTTCCTCATTTTCCTAGTGATGCAACTGTCAGCCCGGGCTGAGAGCGGCTCCGTTGCTTCACCGGACATCCGATGTGCCCGGTGTGAGCCCTCACGTCGAGGAGAAGCTCCTGGCAGTGGCCAGTGGCCAGGTGCTTGAGCAGCGTTGGGGACCTGAAGGTCTCTTGAGTGGGGAGCTTGGTGGTGGAACACGAGAGGTTGCTGTCTGGAAGTCAGTGACCAAATTTTCCAAGCCCAAAGTGGTGTTTTTGCCGTGACGATGGAGGAAGGCTCCCGCCCAGGGATGCTTTTGGGTTGGAGGAGTCCCAAGGAGGTTGTGGTGGAGGGTGTCAGACTGCTGCGCCCGCCGTGCTTTGCCAACAGGGCTTCACAGCGCAGGAGCTTTGCTCCTCCCGCTCTGCAGGGCTTTACTGAGCCTGCTGAGTTATCTGCTTGTGTCTTCACACTTCTCCTGCGAGAAGGGTCCTGAGCTGTGCTCACAGCAGGGGAGAGGACCCAGCGCAGGTGGGAAATGCCTCGGTGGCCCCTGTGATCCCGGCTCTGACATCCTGCCACCGCTCCTGAGTCACTCTCCCTTTGGTCATTGCCTGTTGGGACAGTTTGTCTTGGAGAAACCTGCTGTGTTGGTTTAATTCCCCGACTGGGGTGTCTCAGCCAACCTGCCTTTCCCAGCCACGTGCCAGCTCAGGGCAGACACCCCAGGAGCTACGGGGGGGTTTCTACTGGGATGGGGCTGGTGGTGCACAGCTGAGCTCTGTCATGAGGCATTTAATTAAGTGGTTGCTCTTTCTATTTCTCTTTGAACAAAACAAGGTCTTAAGTCCAGCTGTTGTGCCCGGGCTGTGGGAGGGAGCTCAGGGCTTTGCTTCCAGCTCATGTCCCCAAGTGGCTGGGACACAAACGCACCAGTGCAAGGGCACTGTCCCATCCCAGGACAGCAGCACGGAGCTGCCTCTGACACCAGTACCAGCTTTTCTGAGGCTCTGGTGACATTACTCGGTCCCCTCTTGGCTCAGGGCCCTGTTGCCTGGTGGGCAGTTCACAGATGGTGAGCTCAGGAGGCTGTTAAATATCGTGAAGATGTTAAATATTGTTTTTTTCCTCTGATGTTCATAATGTTTCAGGGACTGTGATATTCCCTGGGGGTTGCAGGAGGTGATAGCAACTTCTGCTTAACAGCTTCTCCCGCCCTTCATGGGCAGAAGAGAGGGGAGATGTCTCCTGCAGAAGGGGAGGAGATGGGGTCAGTGTTGGGGTGATGCTTACGTGATGTCTGTCCCCAGCCATCCTTTGAGGCTTACTTCACCGAGATCCTCCTCTGCAAGAACGAGCTCAACGACACCCTTAACAACCTCTGCCACTGGATGAAGGATGAGCACGTGGACAAGAATCTGGTAAGGGGGAAGCTCTGGGCTGATCTGGGGAGGGAAGAGGGGGAGATGAATTGTGGGGGGCAGGGGGCAGAGCGGGTTGGGGCTGAGGCAGGGCAGGAGGCGGAGGGAAAGGCACTGAGGCCGTGGCCCTTCTCGCAGGTGACGCAGCTGGACTCGGCCTTCATCCGCAAGGACCCGTACGGGGTGGTGCTCATCATCGCGCCCTGGAACTACCCCATCCACCTCTTCCTGGTGCCCCTCATCGGGGCCATCGCTGCCGGTGAGCTGAACCCCTGCCCTGGCGCGGAGGATCCAGGCAGCTCTGGGCACCGCCAAGGGCACCTTGTCCCCAGGCTGGGGTGCCAGAAGAGCTGGCTGTCCCCGTGTCACTGCTCTGTCATCCTGTTTATCTCCCCCCAGGTAACTGCGTCGTCGTCAAACCCTCAGAGACATCCAAGAACACTGAGAGACTTGTTGCTGAAATGCTGACGTGCTACCTGGACAATGTAAGAAGCTCTCCCTGTCCTTCCCCCTGTCCCTGTCCCAAGGCCATGGTGTTCCCAACCCCTGCCCTGCACACAACGTCCCCACTTCACCCCCAGTTTCAGGTGGAAGGAATATTAACTCTATTTCAGGCCAAACCAGGACGGGGTGCTGCCGTCCCTCCTTCCTCCACGCTCCCAGCAGCCCGGGCCGCTGCTGGTGGGGACGGGGACAGAGCAGCCCGGGCAGATGCTGAGAGCGGGGGACCCTTCCTCTTTTATTCTGCAGGACTGCTTTGCCGTGGTGACCGCTGGCGTGCAGGAGACCACCAGGCTGCTGGAGAACAAGTTCGACTTCATCTTCTTCACCGGTACGTCCTGCGGGCCAGAGCAGAGCCCGTCTGGGTTTTGTGCAGCGAGGAAGAGGGATTCCCTCTGGACACCCACCCACGTCCAACGGCGGGCAGCCTGCCTGCAAACAGACCCCCTTGCCTGCCCTCGAGGGAGGCACGGCTCACGGTGTTGGGGGCCTGGTCTCGGGGTCTGTTGGAGGATCTGTGTCTGTGTCTGAGGGGCTGGTGGGACTTGGCACGTTTCCCCTGGGCTTGGCTCCCCAAAGTGCTACAGTGCAGAGCTGTGCCATAGCTGGTGGGGGTCCCTGCCATTACACGCCTCTTCCCTGCCCACAGGCAGCCCCTCCGTGGGGAGGATCATCATGACAGCTGCTGCCAAGCACCTGACTCCAGTGACGCTGGAGCTGGGGGGCAAGAACCCCTGCTACGTGTCCGACCACTGCGACGTGCAGAACGTGGCCCGGCGGGTGGCCTGGGGCCGCTTCTTCAACGTGGGGCAAACCTGCATCGCGCCCGACTACCTGCTCTGCAGCCTGGAGATGCAGGAGAAGCTGATGCCCGCCCTGCGCGAGGCCATCACCGAGTTTTTTGGCCCCAACCCGCGGGAATCCCCCGACTTTGGCCGCATTGTGGGGGACAAGCAGTTCCGCCGCATCCAGGCGCTGCTGCGCAGCGGGCGAGTGGCCATCGGAGGACAGACGGACGAGAAGGAGCGCTACATCGGTGAGGGCTGGGGGGCCCTGGGGTGTGTGGGGGGGCCCACCCGTGCCTGGGCGCTGGGTGACGTGGTGCCGTAACCCTTCTCCGCAGCTCCCACGGTGCTGGCGGACGTGCTGCCCTCCGACCCTGCCATGCAGGAGGAGATCTTCGGGCCCATCCTGCCCATCGTCGTTGTGGCCAACATGGACGAAGCCATTGACTTTATCAACGCGCGGCCGCGGCCGTTGGCCATCTACGCCTTCTCCTGTGACAGCAAGGTGCGTGGCAGTCCACGGAGCAGAAAGGGGGGGTGAGGGAAATGGGGCAGCAGAGATACTGCCCACCTCACCGACACCCCATGGCACTCTCTGAGGGGTCATTTGAGCCCGGCTGTTGCAGGGGACGGCTGATGGCTGAGTTGGGTGATGTTTGACAAGAGTTGCCTGTTGAATCCAAGGTGCCAAACCCACGTCCACCTTCTCTGCTTCCCTCCCAGGTGGTGAACCAGGTGCTGGAACGGACAAGCAGCGGCGGCTTCTGCGGCAACGACACCCTGATGCATGTGACGTTGACCTCGCTGCCCTTCGGTGGGATCGGTAGGTGCGAACCCCCCCAACCTGCCTGCCCTTGGCCAGTGTGAGCCAGGCGTCATCCCACCCCACGGTGGCCGTGGTGGGGAAGGGTCTTGGGGGAGATGAGGTGCCCGGGGGGGCTCAGTGGTCTGTAGGGAAATCCTTCTGCACCAGATAGGACCCCACCAGAAGCCCTTTGCTTCAGCACGCCGGGGCTGAGCTCTTGGGTTTTGCAGCCCTGTTCCTGCTGAACACGTGTGGAGCGCTCTCAGGTTTCTTCTCTCCATGGTTGCCATCCCAAGCACAGTGTTGCAAATGCTTCCCAAAAAGTTAGGGAAATAATCAAGTGGTACAGATTTCCCTGGTATTTCTCAGCAGCACGGGCACGGTGAGTGAATTCTTTGCCCAGGGTTGGGTTCCTGCCCTGCTCGGGCTTCGCCCTTGCTACTCCCTTTGGTCTGTGTCACTCTGCTCCTCATGTGGGAGTGCATCCGACTCGTCATGCTGCTCGGGTAGGTGACCTTCCTCCTGCAGATAGCTGGTGCTGGATATGAGCCCTTAATGTCACTCAGGAGCTGGCTTGCACGTTCCTTCTGCATTTTAGGACTAAACAGTAAGAGCAAAACACTTATAAATGTTTGGAGAACCAGTTTATGGTAACCTGGAGATCCTCCTGGGCAAAGAGGAAGAGTTTCTGCTCAGTTGTTTTCTCAGGTGAAAACTGAGGTCTGCTCAGCCCTGGGCCCTGGTTGTAGCATTGTCCAGGGCAGAGCACAGGAGCACAGGAAGCCTCTGACAATGTTTCCCCACGATACTTTCCCAGTCTCCTGGTCTCTTCCCCAGAATATTCTCTGGGGAAAGTATCTTGGTTTTACGCTGCACGTGCTCAGCATCTCTGTCAGGGCTGATGGCTGATTCAGGCATAATAGGACACCACGACAGCAAAGCACAATTAATTCCTCACCTGACTGTGGCTCAGGGAGCAATTTCTGGTGGTTCCCATAACCGTAACTTATCTTTATGGAAATGATTCAGGCAAAGTGCCTCAAATTATCAGGTGAAGCCATTTTATAGCATCCTGGTCAGGTGAAGGGTCTGAAGGCGTTGTGGTGAGATGGCATTTGCCAAAGCTTCCGCGCTAGCTTGGCTGTGAAGTCACCGGGCTATTAACCGCGATGTGCAACCTCAAGCTTCAACCAGCCACAGGCATTGGGAGAACTGGTGTTGCCAACGTGGCTCCAATTTTTAAGAGCTTTTGGAAGAAGCCGGGCTTCGAAGGGCCACAGTGGTAGCTCCTAATCGTGGGTGGAGATGGGAGAGCACCGTAGAGGTTGTAGAGGGAAATTGAGACTTGTGGACACAGCAAAGCTGACGTAGATAAGTGTAGGCCAGAAAAAAAGATGCACTTGGACCTCCAGCAGTGGTGAGCTGCAGAAGGAGGTGCTGGCCTGCATAGCTGTGGAGCTGGAAAAGGCAGAGGGAAGGGCGAGCTCTCCCCCACCGTGTCTGCCTCGCTAGGCAGCGGGAGCATTTGCATGAGAAAAGCCTGTAAAGTTTTCCTTGTGTTGTTGAATGCTGGCTGTGGGCAGGAGCAGAGTCCCGCAGCAAGTTTGAACCTGTGCTGCCCGTTGCAGGAAACAGCGGTTTGGGGAAATACCACGGGAAATTCACTTTCGACACCTTCACCCACCACCGCGGCTGCCTGCACCGCAACATGGGCCTGGAGGCCCTCAACTCCCTGCGCTACCCGCCCTACAGCCAGCAGAAGCTGGGGCTGTTGACGGCCACCTTCGAGATCAAGCGCAAGGGCATGTGCACCCTGCTCTGAGCGTCCCCCCGCGCTGCTCATGGACTGGTGGGGGTCCCCCCGCCTCTCTTCGGGGAGCAGAACCCACCCTCCTCCCCCGGGAGGCTGCTCCCCTCTTCCACGTCCTTTGCCTCGCTGCCCGCCCTGCTGCGCGTCAGAGGGTGGGGACGGACATCTCCTCCTGCCCCCTCGCTCCTCCCCAGCTGCCTCTGCTCCACGCCGTTTGGTGGGAAACATCTGAAATGGCAAAAAAGTTCTTTTTTTCCCCGTACTTCTCTTCCCAGTGGAGAAACAGTCCCCATGAGGCTGAGGACCGGCAGTGAGACCCATCACCCGTTAGACAGAGCTTTCCTTTATTCTCCCTCAGCGCCTGTTGTTGTTTTTTCCTCCGTGTACCCCTGCCTGTAGTAAAAACTTTGCATTGAGCTCTCCTGCCTGGCCTTGCCTCGTGCCTCTGTCATCCGCCTCAGGGGGGAACCAAGTGGGAATCTGGCACCCAAGCACCGAGGGGTGAGTGCCCGGACCCCCAGGGTCCCCATCCATCACCCTGACACCCTCAGCCACCCCACTGCACCCCTCTGGGGTTGTGTCCACCCCCCTCCTCGCCCAGCCGTGTGCCCCGGGGCTGGATTTGGGGTGCATTTTGCATCCCAAACGGTTTGGAGAGGAGCCAGCAGTGACGCACTGTGGGGCAGGCAGCCAAGGGGCCGAGCAGGAAGCGGGCAGCCGCCCTCCTCCTCCAAGGCAGAGCGGATTGTAGCGGGGACTGGGGTGCCTGCTTGCACCCTGCCAGCCCCAGAGCTCGTCGGGGTCCTCTGGGGAAGGCAACCTGTTAGCTTGAGGTGGGGAACCTGCACTTTGCGACCCAAACGGTGCGAGGCTGCCAGCATAACCCGCCCCGTGCCGCTCCCTTGGGACCATGGAGACCGGTAGCGTCTTCCCACAGCCTGGCACGCAGCAGCCCCCAGGCAACAGGGCTGGGGAAACCCGTGAGGATGATGATGGTGGTGGGAAGGGGACAGTGGAGGATGATGCCACGAGGTGAGAGCTTGTGGCCGGGACAGAGGGGGAGGCAGGAGGGGTCTTGGATGCTCTACCCTCTCCCCAGGGCTGCGGTTTGATGTGGGGCTGGGGTGACGCAGAGCTCCTCTCGCTCATCCCCAGGGACTCTGGGGCTCCACTTTGATGCTGGGCTGGGGCAATGCAGAGCTGGGATGATGTGGAGCTCCTCTCCATCCTCACTGGGAGCATGAGGGGCTGGGACAGGGCTGGGGTCCCTCTGACGTCCCCATCCCCGCAGTGGGAATCCCTACGCCGGGCTGGTGAGCCGCCTGCGGGCAGCCTGGCTCTCGGGGAAGACGCGGCCCTTGGAGTACCGGGTGGCCCAGCTGGAGGCACTGGGACGCTTCTTGGATGAGAAGAAGCAGGACATCCTGGAGGCCACGGCCTTGGACATGAGCAAGGTGAGAGGGGAGGGGGGGGAGGTCAGGAATGGGGGGACGCAGTGGCTGGAGGAGCCGAGGGGTTCCCCACAGCTCTGCCCTGCTCTGCCATCCTGCCGAGGGCTGGTGGGATGCTCCAGCCCCGTGCCGGGTCGGAGCCAGGGGATGTGGGTGGAGGCAGTGAAGGAGAGACTGAGCTGGAGCTCGTCCCAGCCCCCAGCGTGGACAGAGCGGGGGCTGTGGGGAGCGTCCAGACATAATCAACCCTTCCCAATCCCCACCAGCCTCAGTTTACCTCTGTTCTGGGCAGGTCCATCCCTGACTCCCATCACCCCCTTCCGTGTCCTCCCTGCCTCGAGCTTTCCACACAACCTCATCCCCTCCCCTCTCTCGGTGCTCACCCAGGCTGCAGCTCTCAGCGTCCCAACCCCCAGTTTTGCATTGTCCCCCGCCTCTTTGCTCCCTCCTCTGTCAAGATCACCAAGGGCAGGGCAGACCCGTTCCCTGCATCTCCATAAGTCCTCAAATAGCTCCAGCCCCACCATTTCCCCTTCGGTCCAGCTCCTTTACCCACAGCCAGAGCCTCACGTACCATGCAGGGCTCAGCATCCGTTGTTCTCCCTCCTTGTTCCCAATTTCCCTTTGGGCACCCTCCCCATCCCGACCGCACTGCAGATCGATGGGCTCCGCATCATTTGTCCTATTTTTAAGCAGCCAATTCTTGTGCTGAGGGGAGACACAGCTTAGTAAACCCCCACAACCCACACACGGACACAAGGATGGCGCACCGAGTGAGATTGAAGTTCTGTCCAGCCCAGGCTCACTGAAGGATGCTCAGAAACAGGGTAAATACACACAATACTTCCAAATCTTGTTGGAAGCCACCAGCGCTGCCTCCTGTCCACAGTGAGAGCCGCGTGCTTGCTGCCGTGGCACTGTGAGCTCCCCTTGGGGCCACAACTCCCGTGAAAGGAAAAATGAGATATACCCAAACATCTACTACCGCTCCCTTACCCAGAGAGCGATTTGTGGTGTCACACGAGGGAGTTGGAGCAGCCTTCTGCCTGCGGTGTGTCCAGCCTCCTCTGGGGGACACGTTGGACACGTCCTGCAATGCCCTCCCTGGTCTCTGCGTCTCTGCCTCTTCTTTCTTCTGCTCTACAGTCAGGTATCAGGCTCAGTCTTTTCTGGCCTCATCTCAGAAAGCCCCGTGCGGGGCTCTGCTCCTGCTTGGACTCCAGCCCACCCGAGACACCGCGCTCACCCAAACGCCCACTGCAGCGGGCTGACACCTCTCCTTAGTGTCGGTCGGGCTTCCTCATTTGCCTGAGGTTCCCTTTTCCTCAGAAGAGCCATCCAACGTGCCAGTCTGTTCGTGCTATCTGCTCTCTCCATCCCTGGAGGGGCAGCCCAGCTTCCTTCTCGGTCTTGGTCTTGCTTCTCTTCCTGATGTCGTGCCGAGCCACACACCCGCTCTGCTCCCAAACTCCTCAGCCCTTCGGGGTCCCTCTCCAAAAGACTGACCCTCCTCCCACCCTGCTGAGGACAATCTCTGGAAGTCTTTGCTTCCTGCCCTCCCTCCTTCCTAGGGAGATCCTCTCTGCTCTTTCAGCTCACTCTGCCACAAAAACCCTGCATAAACAGGCTGCAAAATCTGGATATTCCCTTTTCTGCTGTACTTCCTCCTAAATCTTGACACCACAGTGGTGGATAACCCCCAGGACTGGCTGGTTTTATCCTTCAAACCTGCCACTTCCCCACCAGTCCCTGTCCACCTTCACCTTTCACCATACCCCTGGATGAGAAGAAACCCAGCTGTAGGACAAACACAGAGGGGTCTCCAGTTGATCAAGGTGAGGAGCTGCTGGCAGAGCCCAACCTCAGCACCAGTGTTATTCTCATGCCGGTGACATGTCCTTGGACGGAAAATCAAAGCCAAGGGAAGAGGGGTGCTGGGGGATTTGCACCCAGATCTCTTCTGGGCTTTTATTTATTGGGCTAAATCCTTAAAGACTCTTACCTGAGTTGCTCTCTGTCACATTATGAAAAAAGACACCATTTTGCTGGACTCCATCGACTTGTTTCATTTGGGTGTGAAAATGCATATGATAAAAAAAAGGGGTCATGACTAGGGATGCTCTTGTCTCCAGACAAAACAGGATTCAACAGCCAGACCCGCACTTTCTTCCCCCAAACATCACCACTGCCTTCACAGACCCCTTTCCTCCTCAAATTCGAAATTTTCCTGGACCTCAGCTGAGGTCCCAGCAGGGAAAGACCAGCCGCAGGCAGGTTACTGCCACCAGGACAGGCCTGGTGATACCACGAGAGGCTTTTGGAGCTCACCAACATCCCACACCATGGACACGGTGGGCGTCACCCCTCTCTCCTTGGCGGGCTGTGCTGTGTGGCTTGGGGGTGAGAGCAAAGTGCCCATCCACCACGGGACACGAAGGGCGTGGGTCCCCAAATCCCGAGTAATAAAAAAAAATATGCAGAGTAAGGATAAGAGCTGCTGCTGTGCTGCAGCAGGTGCTGAGCCGACACGTAGTGTGCTCTGTCCCCAGCCACCCTTTGAAGCTGAATACACCGAGATCCTCCTCAGCAAGAACGAGCTCCATGAGACGCTGAACAACCTGCCCCACTGGATGAAGGACGAGCACGTGGACAGGAATCTGGTAAGGGGGAAGATGAGGGAGAGGATGAGAGGGAAGGACCCGCCTGCCCGGCAGAGATGGGTGGGAGGTGGGCATGGAGATGATGGTGCAATGAAGCACTTCTGGGTGTCCTGCAGGTCACCCGGCTGGACTCGGCCTTCATCCGCAAGGACCCGTATGGGGTGGTGCTCATCATCGCATCCTGGAACTACCCCATCCACCTCTTCCTGGTGCCCCTCATCGGGGCCATCGCTGCTGGTGAGCTGAACCCCTGCCCTGGCGCGGAGGATCCAGGCAGCACTGGGCACCGCCGAGGGCACCTTGTCCCCAGGCTGGGGTGCCAGAAGAGCTGGCTGTCCCCGTGTCACTGCTCTGTCATCCTGTTTATCTCCCCCCAGGTAACTGCGTCGTCGTCAAACCCTCAGAGATGACCAAGAACACCGAGAAACTCATAGCTGAAGCGCTGCCCAGCTACGTGGACAAGGTGAGAAGCTCTCCCTGTCCCTGTCTCATGACTAGAGTGTTCCCAGCCCCTGCGCACACGGAGCTGTGCCCTGCGCTCTCCCTGCCCTGCGCCTGCCCTGCACACAACGTCCCCACTTCACCCCCAGTTTCAGGTGAAAGGAATATTAACTCTATTTCAGGCCAAACCAGGACGGGGTGCTGCCGTCCCTCCTTCCTCCACGCTCCCAGCAGCCCGGACCGCTGCTGGTGGGGACGGGGACAGAGCAGCCCGGGCAGATGCTGAGAGCAGGGGACCCTTCCTCTTTTATTCTGCAGGACTGCTTCGCCGTGGTGACTGCTGGCGTGCAGGAGACCACCAGGCTGCTGGAGAACAAGTTCGACTTCATCTTCTTCACCGGTACGTCCCGCGGGCCAGAGCAGAGCCCGCCTGGGTTTTGTGCAGCGAGGAAGAGGGATTCCCTCTGGACACCCACCCACGTCCAACGGCGGGCAGCCTGCCTGCAAACAGACCCCCTTGCCTGCCCTCGAGGGAGGCACGGCTCACGGTGTTGGGGGCCTGGTCTCAGGATCCCGTGTTGGATCTGCCACCAACCTGTCTGAGAATCTAACAGCCGTAACTGGGTTTTGCAATGGCTGAACTGGGGGACGCCACGGCAGAGCTGGTGGTGATAGCTCAGCGCCGTGCTGCACACCAGAGTGAGTGCAGGACAGGAGTGGAGCTTGAGATATCTTCTCTGGCCTCGTCTCCTCATAAGGCTGAGGCCACAGGTTGGGCTATAGGATGGTGGGATCCTCACCATGATTCATCTTCTCCTGGCCCACAGGCAACCCCTCCGTGGGGAGGATCATCATGACAGCCGCTGCCAAGCACCTGACTCCAGTGACGCTGGAGCTGGGGGGCAAGAACCCCTGCTACGTGTCCGACCACTGCGACGTGCAGAACGTGGCCCGGCGGGTGGCCTGGGGCCGCTTCTTCAACGCGGGGCAAACCTGCATTGCGCCTGACTACCTGCTCTGCAGCCTGGAGATGCAGGAGAAGCTGCTGCCCGCCCTGCGCGAGGCCATCACCGAGTTTTATGGCCCCAACCCTCGGGAGTCCCCTGATTTCGGCCGCATTGTGGGGGACAAGCACTTCCAGCGGGTACAGGCGCTGTTGCGCAGCGGGCGAGTGGCCATCGGAGGACAGACGGACGAGAAGGAGCGCTACATCGGTGAGGGCTTGAACTCCACATCAGTCTTCATCTTTGCACGGAGTGGGTTTTGGAGTGGGTATCACAACTGGAGGGGAGGTTCTAGATAGAAGTGACATTTAGGGAAGGTTTGCGCAGGAACCAGGGAGCTTGGCGAGGCAGCCTATCTTAGAGGAGGTCTTGGGGAGAGGACCAAGGTGTCATCTCCAACCTCTGTGCATGGCTGAAGTCTTCACATTTCTTTCTCTGCAGCTCCCACAGTGCTGGTGGACTTGCAGCCCTCTGATCTGATCATGCAGGAGGAGATCTTCGGCCCTATCTTGTCCATTGTCACCGTGGCCAACATGGATGAAGCCATTGACTTTATCAACAGCCGTGAGCGGCCGCTGGTTGTGTATGCCTTCTCCTCTGATGACAAGGTACAGTGTCCAGACTGTGTGGAGCCAGGGCTATGTTTGCCCCATTCTCCTTGGCATGTGGATTCAGTTGTGTTCGCGCTCCAAAAATTTTCTTCAGGGCAGACAGCCCTGCTTGTGGGGGAAGGATTGCAGCTGGAGGTGCAGGGTGAGGGTGATAAACCCATGTCCACCTTCTCTGCTTCCCTCCCAGGTGGTGAACCAGGTGCTGGAGCGGACAAGCAGCGGCGGCTTCTGCGGCAACGACACCCTGATGCACGTGACGTTGACCTCGCTGCCCTTCGGTGGGATCGGTAGGTGCGAACCCCCCCAACCCGCCTGCCCTTGGCCAGCGTGAGCCAGGCGTCATCCCACCCCACGGTGGCCTTGGTGGGGAAGGGTCTTGGGGGAGACGAGGCGCCTGGGGGGGCTCAGTGGTCTGTAGGGAAATCCTTCTGCACCAGATAAGACCCCACCAGAAGCCTTTTGCTTCACCGCGCCGGGGCTGAGCTCTCGGGTTTTGCAGCCCTGTTCCTGCTGAACACGTGTGGAGCGCTCTCAGGTTTCTTCTCTCTGTGGTTGCCATCCCAAGCACAGCTTTCCTTGCGTATGTGGAAGTGTCTTGTTCAAAAGACAGGGAATTTTGAATGTGGCCACTGCAGGAACAGCTCCCGACCTTCCTTTCCACATGCAGTGCCTTTGCAGGGTGCCAGCAGCCACCCTGTCACACCCATCCCACTGCTGTGCTACCCCTTTTTGCTGCAGGAGAAAACTTGGAAATTGTCATTTATCCACAGTTTTTAGGAACTCAGAATTTCAGTTTTTATTGGATCTCCATTTTGGACTCTGGGTCTGAAGACAGCACAGCTTCCTGTGAATTCCCAAATGTCCACACGTTCCTTTATATATAAACTCCTGCAGACCTATACTGCATAGAACTGAGTAAACAGTAGGGGATCCAGATCACAGCACAGTGGAGATACCATGAGGGTTACCAACTTTACAAGCATTTGCCGTCATCCTGTCTCAGATCTAACAAATCACTCAGGGGCGATATTTTTAGGGCAAAGTTATTGATATGTGCAATTTCTGATGGTCCTCCCTGTTGCTTCACCCAAAGCTTTTGTAAATCTGCCAACCTCGGAAAGCTCTAAATTTGATTCTGAACTTTTTGCTGAAGTTTTCTGCTGCAAAGAGGCGGCCGAGGAGGCTGTTCCTCCACTTCCTGCAGTAATGTCATCTTCTCTGTGTCTACACTGGCTACCAGGCAGTGGGTTTAGGTTTAGACTCGATGAATTGAAGCAAGGATTCCCTGGAAGGTGAAGCATGGAAATGGATATTGGCTGTAAGTTGCATAGCTTCCATGTTTCAGTTATCTGTGTGGTTCTGAGCTCCCATGGGATGTTTTCTATCCAGAGCACCAGCTGGAAAACAACCCTTTGATTCTCTTAAAGGTTTCAGAACAAAGCTGTGCCTAGTTCTGCATTCTTCCACCACAAACCTATAGAGAGGCATGAGTAAGAACAGGGCAAGCACGCATGATATTTCTTCCTGAAAGTCTTCCAGCCTCTATCTGTTTCCAGCTCAAGTGATTTGCTAAGCCAGAAGGATCCTGAGTGTTTGGTAAAGGGTGCTGGACTCCACATGCTTCCCCAGCCTCTCCTCAAATCCAGGGAAACTTTCAATCCCTATGCTAGCCCTGTGACATGGCGCTTCACAGCCCACAGACAGAAACAGCACTTTAGGGCTGTGTTTCTTCTGGTCTGTTCTGCTTAAAAAGCACATCCAGAAGTGCTTCTCTCTCCCCTCGAAGAAGAAGGAGTCAAGGTAGTGAAGACACCCACTTTGGGTCAGATGATCTTCACTACCACGGGAAAACAGCTCCTATGCTCCTCCGGAGGATCAGCTACTCAGCTGGCCAAGAGCCTCTAGTGACCTTCCTCCACGCTGGGGCTGCTGACATGCAAGATATCAAACATAACTCCTCTGCTTGACCAGAATTTGCATTTTATCAGGAAAACCATCCGGCTCAAGCTGACTCATAAAGCTTTATCATATCAGTTACCAGCACACAGCTGGATTTCCTTCTTTTCTGCCAGCCTGCCTGGCTTTCCCTGCTTGCTCCTGGCCAGCCAGCCTTCACCTTCCAACAGACATTTAACTGTTTCTCTGACACTAGCTGAGATCAAAGAAGGTTGGTTTTGTTTTTTTTGTTGTTTTGTTGTCTTTTTTTTTTTTTTTTTTTTTTTAACTAGTAAAGTTTTCAGACTTAAAAAGAGAACAGAAACTTGAGAGAGGATGTAGGGAGCACCTGCAAAAGAAGAGTTGAAGATACAGAAACAAGACTAGTTTTCTTTACTGTTTTAGGTGCTTAAGCATCCGTGGAGGTGGGGACACATGTCCCAGCATCCTCAAGGGCATCTGTTAAACACGATGTACCTGTTTCAGGCTGGTAAAAAACATCATTTCCTCCCCGGAGGGCGAGGATGGGAGGGCAGCGACCAGTGCTCTTGCTGCCTGTTCTCTGCCGTGCCACACTGAATGTGCCGCCTTTCCTGATCCCCCCCACTCCCATTCTCCCATCTGCCAGCAAAGTGGGGATGCTTTGGATCCTCTCCCCAAAACAGCAGGATGATGTGAAGGGCTCCAGCCTTTGCCTCGTTTCCTTGGCTCAGAAATCCTCCAAGGGTACAGTCAGTCCCTCCTGTTGGGAAGGTGACCATTTTTTGCGAAACTCTAATTCTACCAACATTTTTCACACAAGTCTTATTCTATCAACATTTTTCTGAGCCTGGTTTAAGCCAGGGCTAAACGTGTTACCTGAAATGATGAAATCCAGACTGACAAGAGGGTTGTTGGGAACCTTTCCTCCTCCCAGCCCTGTCTTCCTCCTCCAAACATCCCTCAAGCACCATTTAGGTGTCCAGCTAGGCCACCTCCGCGGTCCCCTTTAGATCACTTTCTGGGGATGCTCAGCCACAGCCAGTCCTCCCCGCTGACCCTGGTGTTAGAAAGCAGCTGGAGGAAGATGTGGTGCCGTCCACAATCACGAGTGGCTTCCATCCTCCGTGCTGCTCTTGAGAGGGGAGCTTAATTTTGGACTCTTTGCCCCCAATGGTGGGCGAGCGGCCGCCGGACCCAGCCACCAACCGGGAACCTGTGCCCGTGTCTTGCAGGAAACAGCGGTTTGGGGAAATACCACGGGAAATTCACTTTCGACACCTTCACCCACCACCGCGGCTGCCTGCACCGCGGCATGGGCCGGGAGGCCCTCAACACCCTGCGCTACCCGCCCTACAGCCAGCAGAAGCTGGGCATCGTCCGGGCTGCCTGCGAGGTGAAGCGCAAGGGTGGCTGCACCCTGCTCTGAGGGTCCCCCCGCCGCCCCCCAGGACGGCTCCTGCTGCCAGTCGCCGGCGGTCCTGTGCAATGAAAAGTGTTTCCTTGCAACCGGTGGCCTCCCGGCCTCTTCCCTTCAGCCTCCTGACCTCTTCTCATCGGCCAACGTGGCAACCCGCTGATCAGGGCTTGGGATGGAGCCGCTGGGCGATAGGAAGGAGAACTGGGGAGGGTGGAAGCTACTAGCAACTGGGGCAGAAGGTAGGGGCAGAGCCCCGCAGGGAGTTCCTGCACCCCACATCTCCCTGCACCCCATAGAGATCCCTTGGTGGCTCCGTGGGTTCCAGCAGCCTCGGCTCCATCTCTGCTGGGAGATCCCCACCACAGCAGAGGGGCGGAAGGGCTGGTGGGGTGGTCTGGGGGGTGCTGGTGGTCACCTCCTGCTGCCTGTGACCCCCCAAGAATCACAGAATCCCAGGCTGGAAGGGACCTCAAGGACAATCTGGTCCAACCTTTCTGGCACAAGCCTGGTCTAGACAAGCTGGCCCAGCCCTGTGTCTGTCTGAATCCTAAAAGTGTCCAGTGTTGGGGAACCCACCACTTCCCTGGGGAGATTATTCCAGTGGCTGATTGTTCTCACTGTGAAACATTTCCCTCTTGTGCCCAGTCGGAATCTCCCCAGGAGTAACTTGCACCCGTTACTCCTTGTCTTTTCCACGACACTCCTTGCACAAAGGGAGTCCCCTTCTTCTTTGTAGCCACCCTTCAGACACCGGAACATGGGGATAAGGTCTCCCCAGGGCTGAACAAACCCAGTTCTCAGCCTGCAATGCTCTCCTCCCAAATCCTGAACTGGGATGATCCCAGCTTCCTCCACCCCTTGCCCTGCAATTTGCCCTCCCTTATCTCACACTGGCTGACAATCTCCTCAGTGATCAAACAGGGAGCTTGGAGCGAGCACAGGCAGCTGAGCCCAGAGGACAGGGGCAGGTAAGGTGCCAGCAGGGATGGGGGCTCCTTCTCCTGCCACATTTTGGGGTGTGCTGTCCTCCGGAGACCCTTTCTGTTCTGTCCGGGTTGCTTTGACTCCATCCTGGTGGGTTTCTGGGCTCCATCTGGCTGTTTCCCCTCTCCTCCAGTCCCACTACCCCCACCTCATGCTTTGAAAATTGGAGAAGCCAAGTCAACCCCAGCTCAGTGCTGCTGAAGAACAAAATCCCGTTGGACACGTCCCACCTAGCACAGTGTGTACAGACATGCCAGGCTGCAACCCTGTCCCCCATACTGAGATACTGAACCCCTGTTTTCAACAGCGACCTTCTCCTGTGGCCCAGGAACCTGCTGGCATGGGGCAGCACGAGGCCAGGCCACCCGTCCTTGCCACCACGAGGCCACAGGGTGTCCCTGGGGGGTGTCTGCCCCAGAAGAGATGGTCACATGCTGCTGTGGCTACCAGGAGCCTCCGTGCTGTGAGCACAAGCAGCACCAGGTAGCCATGGGGCTGTGCCTGTAGTGGTGGCTGTGATGACCTGTGTGTCTGGAGCTCTCTGAGATCTCCCTTTGCAAAGGACGAGCTCAACCAGATGCTCAGCAATCCGGGTGCCTGAGTGGAGAACGAGCACGGGGAGAAGAACTGGGTACAGGGCAGCGGCTGGCTGGGGACACAGGTCCTTCACATCATCCTGGTGCTCATCATCGCGCCCTGGAACTACCCCATCCACCTCCTCCTGGTGCCCCTCAGCGGGGCCATCGCTGCTGGGCTGCGTCCTGGCCGTGCTGGGGGGTTCCCAGCACCTCACTGGGAGGGGGTGCATGTCCCGTGTCCTGCTTGGGGTGATGGTGGTGGGGCTGCACTGGGGACAGGTATTTTGCTCCCCAGGAGCAAGGTCCTTCAGAGGAAGGAGCTCCCGTCCTGCAGGTAACTGCTTCGTCATGAAACCTTGTGAAATCAGGATGATGTGGAGAGGTTTGCGGCCAATATGCTGCCCAGGTACCTGGACAAGGCAGGAGAACCCTCTGCTGTGGCCGCCTCTGTGTCCCAAACCTGCTTGGCCAAGCCGCATCTCTCCAGGAGGAGACCACCAGGCTGCTGGAGAACAAGTTCAGTTCCATCTTCTTCACCGGTAGGTCTCCCAGCGACATCCCGGTCCCACCTCTCTCTTCAGGGCAGGGAGACCACCCACCCTAACAAGCCTGGTGTGTCCGTGACCCCCAGCCAGGCAGCCCGGGCTTGGCTCCACGGTGCAGGAAACCGACCCCATCACGCAGGAGACCTCCAGGCCCAGCACGGCCAACGCCGTGGCCTTCACCAACCCCCAGGAGCAGCCACGGGTTCTCTACGTCCTCTCCTCCCGCAAGAAGGCGCAGCACTGGGCTGGGAGCATCCCCCACTTCAGCCCAGGTTGCATCCTGCATGGGGCTGGGCATCCAGTCGGGGCTGCTCCTCTGGCTGTGTCACAGCCGGAGCGAGGCCACCGCATCTCCACGCGTGTGGAAGCTGAGAATTGTCTCAACAGCCGTCAGAGCTATTAAGCTGGTGTTTATTTGACACATCGGACGCATGGGGAATCATTCCTCCTAATATGCACTCCCCTGCAGTGGAGTTTATGATATTTATACACAATTCATATACTAATTTCCAAGAACTCATTACAATATTCATTACTTTTCCAATAAATCATTAGAATATGTTGCTGTTTCCTTCTGCATGCACACTACAGTCTCTAGGTGGTCTAGGACCCTCAGCGGTCATTTACGTCATCATCCTCATCCTTATCACACCGTCCTTTCAGGGAACTCAGTTCTGTCTTCCCCTTTCCCTTGCAGCTGAGGCCAGAAAACCAGTTGCATCTGGTAGTTCTGCAAGCTTCAGCGTCCTTCTTCCATCATCTTGTTTTCCCTAGCTAGGAGCATACTTAAATCATGTAAGCAGACAGGCTCAAGCTTGTTAATTATAAAGTGTGCTTTATTCCTTCGTTAGGCAGATTCCTAAGCAGAACCGTGAACAAAATATTATTATTACATTAAGCAGTCCTGTAAACAGAGCTTGCTGCTACTGACAATTTGCAGTTTTCCAGATGTCTTCCCTCTGCAGTGTCCTGGTGCAGCACGGAGGTGGCAGCCGAGGGGTGCCCGGTGGGTGCTCAGCACCCCGTCAGCACCCAACCGAGCGGCCGCAGCTTCTGCGCCAACACCGCCGTCATGCTGAGCCCCCCGCCTCTGCCCGTGGAGCACCAGTTCCCGCCCCGAACCCCTGGTTCCCGCCTTGACAGCCCCCCCCCCCCCAGATCCCCGGTTCCCGCCCCAAACCCCCAGTTTCCGCCTCGACCCCCCCAAAAGCGCCGGTTCCCGCCCTGATCCCCCCCGAAGCCCCGGTTCCCGTCCCGACCCCCCCCCCCCCGAGCCCCGGTTCCCGCCCCGACCCCCCCCAGATCCCAGGTTCCCGCTCTGATCCCCCCCCGAGCCCCGGTTCCCGCCCTGACCCCCCCGGCCCGGGCCCAGCGCCGGTTCTCTGAGTCCAGCGCCCGGAGCCGGGGCCGGTACCGGGGTCTGAAGCACGGGGATCCGCAGGGCAGAGCGGCTTAGGCCGCTCACAGCTTCACAACGTTGTCGCACTCACGGGCCCAGAGCCACTCCGCCCGAAAAAAAAAGCGAAAAAAAAAAAAAAAAAAAAACGAGAAACCCCCCAAACCGTCCCGCCACCCCCCGCCCGCTCCGCTCACGCCGCGACACCCGCTTCCGCTTCGAGAGACCGCCCCGCCCCCTCACGCCCGGCCAATCGCCGCCCCGCCCCGCCTCCGCCCCGCCCAATCCGCGGAGCTCCCTCCCGCTCAACCCTCCGGCCCCCAGACCAATAGAAAGCGAGGCCGGCGCCTCCTTGCCCCGCCCTTCCCCCCCGCAACGTGACACCGGCGCGGCCCCTGCGCTTGCGCGTCTGCCCTTGGCGCAGGCGCAGTGCGCTCCGGGGGCGGGGCGGGGCGCCGGGGTCCTTGGGGGAGGTGAGCGGGGGGGGCTGGTGGCCCTGGGGCGATGGGGGTGGCTTGGGGTGCTCGGGGTCGGGGGGGGCTGTGGTGGCACATGGTGGCTTGTTGTAGCTTCCAGATCCCGCTTGGGGAAGGGGGGAGGAGAGAGGGTGACCCAGGAGCCTTGGGGGTCCCCCCGGGTTGCCTGGGGGTGGGGGGGCTGGTGCTTGGGTGCTGGAGAGTGGGGAGGGGGGCTTGAGGTAGGGCTTCTGGGTTCCTTGGGGTGGGGGTGATCTCATGGGGGGGGGCAGGACGCCTGGGTCCATTTGGAGGGGGGTTGGGACATCTGGGTCCTCTTGGGGCGGGTAACGAGATGTCTGGGTCCCTTTTGCGGGGGGTAACATTTCTAGGCCCCTTTGCGGGGGGGTGACAAGATGTCTGGGTCCCTTTGGGGCGGGGTAACAAGGTGTCTGGGTCCCTTTGGGGGGGGTAACATGTCTGAATCCCTTGGAGGGGGACGTGTCAGGACACCTAGGTCCCCTTGGGGGGTGCACAGCAGGACACTTGGGTCCCTTGGGGCGGGGGGGGGGGTGTCAGGACACTCTGGGGGGAGCTGGGAGATACCTCAGACCCTTGGCGGGGGAGAGGACACTTAAGTGCCTTGTGGGAGGAGAGGTCCGAGGGGGGGTCCAGGTCTCTTCTTGTGGAGGGTTGGGGGGGGGGGGGGGGGGGGTCAGGACGCCTGGGGCCCCTATGGGAAGTGTTGGGGGGGTGTCTGGGATGTGTGTGTCCGTCCCTCCCCCCCAGTGCTGCTTGCTGGCCCGGCAGCAGGACCGGAGATGGCGGCACTGCGTTTGCTGGCCCGGGCTGCCCGCCCAGGTGAGACCCTGCACCGGGACCTCCCCCCTTCCCTAAAATCCAACACCTCCCCGGCCCCCAACCCTTTTCTCTCCCCTTCCCCCAGGCCCACCAGCCCCGCTGGGCTCCCTGTGCCTGCTCAGCACCACCCCCCCCAGGGATTCCTACAGTGAGTAGGGGCATGCTGCCCCTCTCCCCCGAAACCCCTTCCCCTCTTATCCTGGGGGGCTTCTGCACACCCTGACTCTGTGGGGTGGGTGCAGCTCCCCCCCACCCTGCTCCCCACGGGGTGGGCTCAGCTCCCCTCTCCCTGCAGAGTACGTTAACATCCAGGAGCCGGCCACGGACATGCGATCCATCACCGACCGCGCTGCCCAGACCCTGCTGTGGACTGAACTCTTCCGAGGTGCAACCTGAACCCGACCAGATGCTTCCTCGGGTGGAACAAACCCCTCCCCCCCCCTCCATTTGTAGGGTGCCAACCCCCCCCGAATAAGCCGTAACCCTTCCTCTTGGTCTTTCTGTGTTTTCCAGGCTTGGCCATGACGCTGAGTTATCTTTTTCGGGAACCAGCCACCATCAACTACCCCTTTGAGAAGGGTCCGCTGAGCCCACGCTTCCGCGGGGAGCACGCCCTGCGCCGCTACCCCTCGGGGGAGGAGAGATGCATTGCCTGCAAACTCTGCGAAGCCATTTGCCCAGCACAGGTGAGCCTTCATCCACCCATCCTCCTCCTCCCGGGAGGAGACACCGTGGCCCCGGTGTGGGAGCTGAGGGGGGGGACACGTTTTTTTTTCCCAACCCGGTGGCAGGCGATCACCATCGAGGCCGAGCCCCGAGCCGACGGCAGCCGCCGCACCACCCGCTATGACATCGACATGACCAAGTGCATCTACTGCGGGTTCTGCCAGGAGGCCTGCCCTGTGGACGCCATCGTGGAGGTGAGCTGGATGACACACAGACAGTTTTTTAGGGGTGCTGCGGGGGTGCAGCGAGCCTCGAGGGTGAACTTTTCCCCATCCCGGCAGGGCCCCAACTTTGAGTTCTCAACGGAGACGCACGAGGAGCTGCTCTACAACAAGGAGAAGCTGCTCAACAACGGCGACAAGTGGGAGGCTGAGATCGCGGCCAACATCCAGGCCGATTACCTGTACCGGTGACGGCCGCCACGTCTCCTCCCCGCCCCCCAAATAAAGGGGTTGGGGGGGGGTTTCTGCCACCCCCATCTGCACTGAGGGGCACCAGCCCCTTCCTGGAACTCTGGCTTTCTCTGTGTCTCTTCCTTCTCAGTGCTGGGGCAGGGGAGGGGTTGAACCCCCTTGGGCAGACATAGCCTGAGGAGGGGGGTGCAGGGATGCATTTTGGGGTGGGGAGGGGTCTTGGGAAGTGTTGTCGCCCACATTGGGGCACAGGAATTGGGGAGGGGGGAAGCATCAGTTGCAGGGAGAAGTGTGGGATGAGGAGGGGACGTGGAGGCTGTGGGGCAAGGCTAGTTTGAGGCGGGGGGCACGCAGGGACCAAGGAGGGGGGGTCTGGGGGTTCGGGGTGGGTTTGGAGGGGCGCACATTAGTTCCTCTCCCAAGGTTGGGTGTCCCTGCCTGTGGGGGGCTCATTCCCGGCCCCCAACCTCCCAGGGCAGCTGCAGAGAAGGTGGTGGTGGTGGGGTTCCGGATGGTACCGGCTGGGGGTTTCCCAGCTCCTCGGGAGGTGGTTTAGTGGGGGCTCGGAGGGATGCCGGCCCCCTGTTCCCCCCCCACACAAAAAGGGGGGGTTCCCCCAGCAGCGGGGCGGGGGGATGCGCTCCCGGGGGCGGGCGGGCCGGTCCCTCCCCGCGGCCGGGCCCTTCCTGGGGAAGAGGAAGTGCCGAGCCGGGTAGGGGCGGGCAGCATCCACGGGGGGGGTGGTGGGGGCGTGGGAACGGGACAACCCCCCTCTCCCTTCTCCCCATCCCTCCCTTCCACGTCCCGCGGGGGCGGCCGGTGCCCGGTGCGGACCCGGGTGTGTGTGTGGGGGGGGATGCGGTGGCCCCTGACTCAGCTGCAGCTGAGCGGGACGGGACGGGGCGGGGGGGGGACGGGACTGGAAAGTATTTTGCAAGCCCGGGGCTGGGAACAGCCGCGTGTGACTGGGGCGGGTCACTTCCCCCACCCGCCTCGCCACGGCTGCGGGGACACCCCAGCTCCGCACCACCACAACCACCCCCCCAGTCCCCCCAGGGACCCCCGGGGTGACCCCCCAGCACTGCTGCCATCCCCCTCCACCCTCACCCCCATCCCTTCTGTGAACCCACTCCTCCTTTTTTCCAGGCGGGTGCCCTTGCACCTCTGTACCCCAGGGTGGGAGTGAGGGTCCCCGTGGGGGGACACACACCATGGGGTCCCTGTTCCGCAGCGAGGAGGTTTGCCTGGCTCAGCTCTTCCTCCAGTCTGCCTCGGCCTATAGCTGCGTCAGCGAGCTGGGCGAGCGGGGGCTGCTCGAGTTCAGGGACGTACGTAGGGGCTGGGGGGGCTGCGGGGGTGCTTTGGGGGGGCTCTGGGTACACGGAGTTGGACTGGGTGTATTTGGGTGCAGGGGGTTGGGTGCACGTGGCTTGGGGCACCCTGGGTGCAGGGGGGTTGGACTGGATGGGATGGGGTGATGTGGGTGCAGGTGGGTTTGGGTGGTTTGGGGTGCTCTGGGTACAGGGGGGTCAGTCTGGGTGGGTTTGGGTGCAGGAGGTAGGTGCAGGTGGCTTGGGGTGCCCTGGGTGCAGCGAGGTTGGACTGGGTGGTTTGGTGTGCTCTGGGTGCAGGTGGGGTTGGACTGGGTGGGATGGGGTGCTCTGGGTGCAGGGGGTTTGGGGTGGGTGGTTTGGGGTGCTCTAGGTGCAATGGGGTTGGACTGGGTGGGATGGGGTGATGTGGGTGCAAGTGGGTTTGGAGTGGGTGGTTTGGGGTGCTCTGGGTACATGGGGTCAGTCTGGGTGGGTTTGGGTGCAGGAGGTAGATGCAGGTGGCTTGGGGTGCCCTGGGTGCAGCGAGGTTGGACTGGGTGGTTTGGTGTGCTCTGGGTGCAGGTGGGGTTGGACTGGGTGGGATGGGGTGCTCTGGGTGCAGGGGGTTTGGGGTGGGTGGTTTGGGGTGCTCTAGGTGCAATGGGGTTGGACTGGGTGGGATGGGGTGCTCTGGGTGCAGGGGGTTTGGGGTGGGTGGTTTGGGGTGCTCTAGGTGCAATGGGGTTGGACTGGGTGGGATGGGGTGATGTGGGTGCAAGTGGGTTTGGAGTGGGTGGTTTGGGGTGCTCTGGGTACATGGGGTCAGTCTGGGTGGGTTTGGGTGTAGGTAGTTTGGGGTGCTCTGGGTGCAAGTGGGTTTGGGATGGGTGGTCTGGGGTGCTCTGGAAGCAGGGGGGTTGGTCTGTGTGGGTTTGGGTGCCCTGGGTGCAGGAGGGTTGGGGTAGGTAGTTTAGGGTGTTATGGGTGCAGGGAACTCGGTATGGGTGGGTTGGGGTGCTGTGGGCGCAGAGAGTGGGTGTGGGTGGGTTTAGGGTGGGTGGTTTGGTGTGCAGGGGGGCTCAAGGGGTACATGCAAGTAGCTTGGGGTGCCACGGGTGCAAGGGACTAGGTGCAGGTGGTTTTAGGGTGCTATGGGTGCAGGGGGAAAATATTATATGCAGGGTGGCTGGTTTGGGGTACCATGGAGGTGGGAGGGGTGCATGCGGGTGGTTTGGGGTGCCGTGGGTTTGGTCTGGGTGGTTTGGGGTGCTGTGGATGCAGGGAGATTGGGGTGGCTGGTCTGGGGTCCCTTGTGTTCAGGGGGTTTGGGGTGGATGTTTTGGGGTACCGTGGGTGCAGGGGGGTGCATGCAGGTGGTTTGGGGTGGATGTTTTGGGGTACCGTGGGTGCAGGGGGGTGCATGCAGGTGGTTTGGAGTGCTGTGGGTTTGGGGGGGCTCTGGGGGCAAGGGGTGGGTTTGAGTGGCTTGGGGTGCCCTGCGTGCTGGCACGGTGCTGGGCCAGGGGAGCTGGGGCTGCCCAGCCCCCTGGGATACTCAAATCCCTGTCTCCCCGCCCCAAATTGGTGCTGTTCCATGACTTGTACCCCCCAACCCCTCCCCTCTGGCAGCTGAACCCCAAAGTGAGTGCCTTCCAGCGGCGCTTCGTGGGCGAGGTGCGGCGCTGCGAGGAGATGGAGAAAACCTTCAGTGAGCACCGGGGCGGGACACGGGGCTGCCTTGAGGAGGATGGGGGGGGGGGGGTCCGTCCCCCCTTTAAATCTGACCCCGTCTCTCTCGCAGCTTTCCTGCAGCAGGAGCTGCGGGGGGCCGGGCGGGTGCTGGGGCCGTGCCCCGAGACCCCGCGGGCACCGCTGGCGCGGGAGGCACTGCGGGTGCAGGAGCAGTCGGAGCAGCTGGCGCAGGAGCTGCGGGAGGTCAGCCGCAACCGCGCGTCCCTGCGCGGGCGCCTGCGGGAGCTGCGCCAGTACCTCCACGTCCTGCGCGAAGGCCAACGCTTCACCAGCTCACCGGTGGGTCTGGGAGGAGCCCGCCGGCCCCGGGGAGTGTGTGTGTGTGTGTGTGTGTGTTTGCCACCCTGCGCCCCGTTTTCTTCCCGCCCCCAGTGTTATCTCTTTGCTCCTCATCATCGCAGGGTCCCCTAGGCTCTCCACTGCGGCCCCGGGCGCTCTCCGAGCGTGAGCCCATCCTCGACCCTTCCCTGCACCAGCACCTTGACCGCAAGATCAAGTAAGAGGGGCTGGCGTGTGGGGCGGGGGTTGGAGAGGGGCTGTGGGGAGTGGTGTGGTCGTAGGGCAGTGGGCATGGCTGTAGGGTAAGGGTTGGAGATGAGCCATGGGGTGATGAGCATGGCTGTAGGGTAAGTGTTGGAGATGAGCTGTAGGGCAATGTGTGGCCATGGGGTGATGGACATGGCTGTAGGGTAAGTGTTGAAGATGAGCTGTGGGGCAGTGGTGTGGCCATGGGGTGATGGGATAGCGGGTAGGAGGTAGAGTTGGGTGATGGGCATGGCTGTAGGGTAGGGGTTGGACATGAGCCCTGGGGCAGTGGATAGCAGGTAAGGGTTGGAGATGAGCCGTGGGGCAGGGATAGCAGGTAAGGGTTGGAGATGAGCCATGGGGCGGTGGCGTGGCCATGGGGCAGGGCCAGCAGCAGAGCCGTGCCCATCCCAGCACCCCCGCCGTGTCCCCGCAGCTTCGTGGCCGGTGTCATTCACCCGTGGCGGGTGAGCGCCTTTGAGCGGCTGCTGTGGCGTGCCTGCCGTGGCTACCTGGTGGCCAGCTTCGTGGAGATGCCTGAGCCCATGGAGGACCCGGCCACGGTGAGCGGGGCACTGGGGTGTGGGGCTGGCGGGGAAGGGGGGGGCCGGGGCTGACGTGGGCTGTGGTGTCCGCAGGGCGAGAACATCACCTGGGTCATCTTCCTCATCTCCTACTGGGGCGAGCAGATCGGGCAGAAGATCCGCAAGATCTCAGACTGGTGAGCCAGTGGTCCCATGCCACGCATCTGGCCACGCAGAGGTTTATTTAGCAAACCCAACCCCCCCACACGGGGATGGGCTGTGCCACCCTGGGGAGCCCTGGCACCCCAAGACACGGCGGTGTCCGTCTGTCCCAGCTTCCACTGCCACATGTACCCTTACCCGGAGAGCGAGGCCAGCCGGGTGGACACCATGAGTGGGCTGCAAGGCCAGATCCAGGACCTCAGCGTGGTGAGCTGGGCACCTCAGGGGGGGTCCGGGGGGCCCACGCTGGGACCTCCCCCATCCCTGACCCCCACCGGGCACCCACAGGTGCTGGAGGAGACGGAGCAGTACCTGGCGCAGGTGCTGGACAAAGTGATGCTGGCGCTGCCCACCTGGAAGGTGCAGGTGCAGAAGATGAAGGCCATCTACCTCATCCTCAACCAGTGCAGCTTCGATGTCACCGAGAAGTGCCTCATCGCCGAGGTCTGGTGCCCCGTGCGGGACCTCACCCAAGTGCAGGATGCCCTGCGCCAGGGATCGGTGGGTTGCTTGGTGTCCCCATGTCCTTGTGCTGGGGTTGCTCGGTATCCTTATGCTGGGGGTCTCTTGGTGTCCCCATGTCCTCATGCTGGGGGTCTCTTGGTGTCCCCATGTCCTTGTGCTGGGATTGCTTGGTGTCCCCATGTCCTCATGCCGGGGGTCTCTTGGTGTCCCCATGTCCTTGTGCTGGGTTTGCTTGGTGTCCCCATGTCCTCATGCCAGAGGTCTCTTGGGTGTCCCTGTGTCCTCCTGCCATAGTGGGGTGGGTGCCAGGCAGGGGGGTGCTGTGGGTCAGGCGCCGGGTGCTTTTCCCCACAGTACAAGAGTGGCTCGAGCGTGGAGTGCTTTGTACAGCGCATCCCCACCTCGGAGAGTCCCCCCACCCTCATCCGCACCAACAAATTCACTGCCGGCTTCCAGAGCATCGTGGATGCCTACGGGGTGGCCAACTACCAGGAGGTGAACCCCGGTAAGTGTCCCCCTGCCCAGGGCTGGGGGGGGAGGAGGGTGGGGAGGGCCTATGTGACGTGGTCCCCGTGCCCCCGCAGCGCCCTACGCCATCATCACCTTCCCCTTTATCTTCGCCATCATGTTTGGGGACGTGGGGCACGGGCTGCTCATGTTCCTCTTCGCTCTCTGGATGGTGCTGTACGAGAACAGCCCCAGCCTGCGGCAGGCCAGCAACGAGGTGAGGGGGGGTGTGGTGTGGGACATGCTTGGGGGGTGTGGGACATGCTTGGAGGTGTGGGATATGCTTGGGGGCATGAGTTAGGGTTGGTGGTACGGGATGGGGCTGGTGGTGTGGGACAGAAGCAGTGTGGGGCAGGGTTGGTGGTGTGGGAGGGGGACAGTGTGGGGCAGGGGAGGTGGTGTGGGACGTGGGAGCCATGGTTTCCGCCCCCCCCCACCCCCTTCCTAGATCTGGCTGACGTTCTTTGAGGGGCGCTACCTCATCCTGCTCATGGGGGCCTTCTCCATCTACACCGGCTTCATCTACAATGAATGCTTCAGCAAAGCCACCGTCATCTTTCCCTCTGCCTGGAGTGTGGCCACCATGGCCAACCGCTCCTCCTGGAGGTGGGACTCCCAACCCACCCTCCATGAACCTTCCCCAGCTCCCTGCCTCCACTGACACCCCCTCGCTCTGCCCACAGCTCTGCCTACCTCGCCACCCACCCGTCCCTCACTCTGGATCCCAACATCACCGGTGTCTTCCAAGGGCCTTATCCTTTTGGGATCGACCCAGTGAGCATCCCGTGGGGGAGAGGACGAGATGGGACCCTGGGTGGGGTGGGCTGGAGTCTCACCCACCTTGTCCACCACAGATCTGGAGCTTGGCCACCAACCACCTCAACTTCCTCAACTCCTTCAAGATGAAGATGTCCGTGGTGCTGGGCATCGTGCACATGGGCTTTGGTGTCCTGCTGGGGGTCTTCAACCATGTGTGAGTCCCCGTGGCTGTGCCCACGGGCTCTGGCCACCTGTGGTCACGTGAAGGGGACTCAGGGTGGGGGAGTGGGGTCCTGTACCCCTACATCTGGGCAGGCGAGGGTGCGCCGTGCCAGGCTGAGCGTGGCTGATGTCCCCCTGCCCAGGCACTTCCAGCAACGGCACCGGCTGGTGCTGGAGCTCCTGCCCGAGATGATTTTCCTCCTGGCTCTCTTTGGCTACCTCGTGTTCCTCATCTTCTACAAGTGGGTCAAGTTCGACGCTGCCGACTCCCGGGTGGCCCCCAGCATCCTCATCCACTTCATCGACATGTTCCTCTTCACCTCCAACGCTGAAAACCTCCCGCTCTACCAGGGGCAGGTAGCACCCCGCCGAGACGGGGGGGCACCCACCTGGGGACCCTGATCTCATCCTTGCCCAAGCTGGGAGCAACGGGAAGCCCTGAAGGGGCTGGTGTGGTGGGGAGGGGGTGTCCCCCCCCTGTGACATGAGCGGGGCCGTTCTCAGCCGGTGCCGTAGGGGACCCCGAAACGGTGCCCCTGTGCCGCAGGTGCCGGTGCAGACCGTGCTGGTGGTGCTGGCGCTGGCGTCGGTGCCTGTCCTGCTCCTGGGGACGCCGCTCTACCGGTGCTGCCGGCAGCGTGTGCTGAGGACGGGCCGCCCTGGGGTAAGGCTTGGGGGGTGTTTGTGGGGTGAGGGGGGCCCAGGCGGGGCAGGGTGGGGGGGAAACAGTGGGGACTCACTGCGGGTGCCGTCCCCCCGTAGCCCATGGCCCCAGGGGAGCAGGAGCCGTTGCTGGAGGGGCAGGAGGCCGGCAACTCCGTCAATGTCACCAAGGAGGACGTGGAGAGCGGAGGGCACAGCCCCGACGCCGAGGTGAGGGCTGGCAGTGGGGTGGGGGGTGGCCGTGGCCCCCCACAACCCCCCGCTGATGTCCCACGTCCCCTCTGTCCCTGCAGCACGTGGACGTCGCTGAGATCTTCATGCACCAGGCGATCCACACCATCGAGTACTGCCTGGGCTGCGTCTCCAACACCGCGTCCTACCTCCGGCTCTGGGCACTCAGCCTGGCCCATGCCCGTGAGTGTGTGTGTGTGTGTCCCCAGCTCCCCAAACCCCTGTGTGTCACCCTCCAGGGGCCAGGCAGAGCCTCACCCCTTTCCCTGTCCGGCCCCAGAGCTGTCGGAGGTCCTGTGGACCATGGTGATGCGCAACGGCTTCGTGGGGCTGAGCTACGTGGGTGGCGTGGTGCTGGTGCCCGTCTTTGCCGCCTTCGCCGTGCTGACCGTGGCCATCCTCCTGGTGATGGAGGGGCTCTCCGCCTTCCTCCACGCCCTGCGCCTGCACTGGTGAGCCCGGCTGAGGGGGTGCGGGTGGGATGGGGTGACTGATTTCCCACCCGCCCCCGCCCCGCTCCTCACCGGCCTCTCTCCTCGGCAGGGTGGAATTTCAGAACAAGTTTTACGTGGGCGCTGGGTACAAGCTGTGTCCCTTCACCTTCGCGCCCGACGCCTGGGAGTAGATGCGCCCTGGGGATACCGGGGGGGCTTGGAGCAGCAGCAGGACCCAATCCCTCACCCTGCTGCGGGGAGCAAAGCCGGGGCAGGGGTGCTGGGGGGGCAGGGTTCCCCCCCCAAAGCCCCTGGGGCTGTCCTTGGCAGAGAATAAAGCCATCCCCACGGCTCGTCCCCAGATCTGCATCTCCGTCTCCTCTGCTGTGGGCTGGGTAAGGGGTCCTGGGGAGGTGGGGGGAGGGATGGGGGGTGACCCCCCATCACTGCTGCCCGTAGCCAAAGGTGGGGGCCGGGGTGGTGCTGTAGGTGCTGAGCGGGGGGAAGGGGGGCAGGGGGTAGGGCAGGGTGCGGGGTTTGGCCCCCACATAGACACCGGGGGGGCAGGCGAGGGGCTGGAAGGGGGGGGTGGGCAGCTCGGAGAAACCGGGGGGAGCTCCCGGTGGGACTGGTTGGGGGGCCACGGCGGTGGCCAGTGCCCCACGGCTGCGGGGAGCCCCTGGGGAGGGAAGAGAGAGCAAGAGGGGGTCAGCCCCCCCCTCAACCCCCCTACCTTTCTCCTGCTTCTCAGGGCAGGAGGGCAGCACGGTGGCCCGGGCGCGGGGCATTGCACCCAACAGCGACCCTGCCGGCACCCCGCACCTGCAAGAGAGATGGAGGGGCTCAGGGAGGGAGGGGACGCGGTGTGGAGCCCCTCATCGGGGTGGTGTTTGGGGGGGGGGCACACAGCTTACCATGGCTCAGGGTCACCATCCCGAAAGCCCTTGGCAAAGGGGTTGCTGGCGATCTTCAGCTGAGTGATCTGCGGAGTGGAGCGGGGTCAGGGGAGTCTTGGGGAGCGGCTGGGGGGGGGAGGGCACCCCAATGCCCACACCCCCAGGAGCTCACCCGGTGGTTCTGGTAAGCCGTCACCGCCATGAACTGGGTCTCGGGGAAGCTGAAAGACTTGAAGTTCTGGTGGGCAAAGCGCTCACTGTCCCGGCGCGGGTCCACGAAGACGACGTGGAAGCGGGGCTGGTAGCGATGCATGGAGTTGAGGATGATCTGGGAGGGTGGGGAGAGGGGAGGTGGGCAGGACCCCCCCCAAAGAGGGGGTACATCACGCCCCCCCCCACCCCAAGGCTGGGTCCTCACGTGGCCGTTGTCGTCCAGGAGGTTGTTGGTCAACTTGAGCTTGTCGAAGGAGACGATCTGCCGCATCCACTGAGCCCCTTTGGCCGGCGAGTCGGGGTGGAAGTGGACACGACCGGGGGCTGCCGGGTCGGCCCGTCCCGCTGCCAGCCAGGAAGAGCTGTGGAAGGCGTACCTGAGGGGCAGGGGGGCGCTCAGAACCACCAGGATGAGGCCCCCCACCTCCTCTTCCACCATCCCCATCACCCCACCTGTATCTCTTGTCATCCAGGGGGATGAAGTCCATGAGCAGGACGTAGTCGGCCAACGGGTCCAGCCCCGACAGCTTCACCTGGAAGGTGGGAAACATCCTCCTGGGGGGAGAGGGGGTGGGAAGGGGGTGCCCCTCACCCCGGCAGCCCTCTCCCCTGCTTCTCTCTGGTACCTACCTGCCCGCTTTGGTGACGATCATCTCGGTGCCCAGGCGGTTGAACTCCTCCCAGAGGCTGCCCATCTCCAGCCGTGCCGCAGCGTGGCACACGCGCCGGTTCTTGCCGCTGGTCCCCAGCCCCTCACCTGCCCACCCGAGGCCAGTGCCGCAGGGGGGCCCCTCACCTGGCCCCCCCAGAAAGGCTGCAGAGGGGTGAGGGAGTGTTGGGGGGGGGGTGTGTGTCTAATCCTGCACCCCAGATGTGGGAGCAGACCCCATGCACCACCAGCCACCCCATCACATCCTCTCTCCGTGGAGGGGGTGGGAGGATCGGGAGCATCCGGACCCCCCTGCCCTAGTGGGGTTTTATCCCCCTCCCCACTGTCTTGTGGGGCTGGGCAACCCACCACACCCCAAAAACACCGCGGGACCCCACTGCTGGGTTCAAGGGAGCGTTGTTGTGGGTGGGTTTTACCTGCCATGGGTGCGGCGGGTGGGCAGGAGGAGTCCGTGGCTCCGTCCCCCAGCACGGCGGCAGTGGGGACCCCAAGGAAGCCCCTTCCCAGCTCAATGCCAGCTCCAGACTGTCCCCCGCCGTTTGCTGGGGGTTTTATGCCCCAGCTTGGGGGTGGAGACGCGGGGGCTGGAGCACAGCCCCCTTCCCTGACCTGCCTTCGTGCCTTGACGCGATGATGATGGACAGGAGGTGAGTAGTGGCCTTGGGACTACTGGGACCACTGCTGGTCCCCAGCTGGTTCTCGGGGTACCCTAGGCTGGGAGGGACAGCTCTCTTGGGGTCTCCTTGTCCCCTTCATGTCCCATGTCTGAGCAGGGGGGGAGATTGGGGCTGGTCCGACCCTCTCCCCTGAGCAAAGCCCCTCTCGGCATGCGGCAGCCACCGGTGCACCGGCGGCTCGGCAGACAGCCCGCCGTCAACACCCGGTATTAAAAACCACGGTGAGGTGTTGAGACATCCGCAACGTGCCAGCTGCTTGTGCAAAGCCTCTGCAGCTCCGGGAAAGGGGTGGGAGGGGGGGAGAAAAGTTCTTCCCATTTCCCCTGCACCCATCCCAAATGCTGGTCCCGTCTCTGCCCTGGGATCCCCGGGGCTGAGCCCCCTCCACTCCACACCTGCCGTCATGATGCTCAATACTGGCCTGACAGCGGGAGATGGATGGGGCCAAGCTGGTGCTGTGGGGGTGAGAGATGCAAGGGTGGGGGACTGTGGGGGGAAGGGAAAGCAGAGGGGCTACTCCCGAGCCCCCCACTCCCCTCCAAACGACAACAGGGCTGCGGACACCATCGCGTTGCGCATCATGGGAGGGATGAGGGATGCTGTGGCTCTGGGGATGGGTCTGGAGGGAACTGGGGACATCCTCACGGGGATGTTGATGACTTTCTGTCACCGGAGGTACCCCAGTGATGGTGGCACTGCGCAAGGGCTGAAATCCCTTCTTGCTTTGCACAGAGCCAGCTATTTTCTCCAAACCAGGACTCGGCTCTGGGGTTGGTGCTTAAATCCTTCCACTGTAACGGAGAGGAAACCTTCCGGCCCCTGTACGTTGCTGGGTGGCCAAGGGGGGGTAGCGTGGGCAGTGCTGGGTTTTGTGACCGGGACTGATGCAAAGCAGGGAGAGACCATCTCCCCCCAAGCCCCCCGTGTCCGTCACATCCCCGCACGTGTCCCACGCCCCGCGGTGCCGGCTTGGCCCCATCCATCTCCTGCTGTCAGCCGGGCTGTGGCCCCGGGGCCGGTATCGAGCTGGGAGATGAGGAGGTGCGAGAGGCAAGCGCTGACAGCGGGGAGGAGGAAGAGGAGGATGGAGGGGGCTCAGCCCCAGGCAGGACCAGACTTGCCAGAGCTCATAGGCAGCATCGCACCGTAGCTCCTGTAGCTGATTTTTCTGTTGGAGAGAAAAGAAAAGGTGAGGATGCGGCCCTGGAAGGTTTTTAAACCCCAAACACTGCCCAGATTGTGGGGGTTTGCTCACAGCAGTGCACTGTCAGGGAAGGGCAGCCTCCGGCTCAGAGTCTAAAACACCAATTCTTGGTGTTCAAGGTGATGTTTAACCCGACCTTGCTTTGAACAGTTCTTCCCTGCTGAGAGCAGAGGGACAGCCTGGATCCAGCCAAAATCTGGTGGGAATTTATGTGACATTTACTTTCTTTCTGTGTTTGGCTCTGGGAGGTTCCAGCCCTGCTCGGTGCTTAGCAAAAGGTGTGGGTCAGGGCTTTCTGCATCTAGACTAATTCCCAGCAAAATATGTCTGATCTTATCTCATAGTGGCTTCTGCTACCCTTGGCACTCACCTTTGCTGGTGTGAAAAGGCTGCAGAAAGAGGTACCCCACATCTCCCACTGGGCTTGGGAACCTCCATCAGATCCACCAGAGACAGGGCCAGCCCTCGAGATTTCCTTCATTCCTTCAGAAGGGCCCTTTTCCCCTTTGGCTGCCCCTTTCAGTACTTTATTATGCTCCTCATTTGATCCTTCCCATCACCTTCCTTCCAGTTTTGGGCACCTCTCCCTCAGGCTCTCATTTTTCCCCTACAGCTGGTGCATTTCCAGCGTGATGGGTGGAAGAAGGTAAGTGTTATCATCAAGGAGGGCACAAGGACTGTGGGCTGCTTCAATCCGCAGCAGGATTAAGAAGGAAACCCCCTCCCTGGAAGCCCTCTCCAGGCAGAGGAAGGACAGGAGGGGAGCTGTGAGTAGCCAGCATGGATATACCAAGGGTAAGTCATGCCTGACCAACCTGAGTGCCTTGGGCGATGAGAGGATTGAAGGCTGCGTGGACAAAAAGACAAGTAGTGGACAACATTTACCTCAACTTTAGCAAGGTCACCATGGTCTTCTGTTGGCTCCCTGCAGCCAAACTTGTGAGCTAGGGTTTGAGTATAAGGTATTTAAGATGGGTGGTTCATCATCCATGGTGTCTGGGACTGCTGATGGACCCTGTTTCCAGCACTGGCTCAGCTCCTGTGGGACTGTGCCCCATCGGTGAGGTCCCCCTCAGCTCCCTGGCATGATAATGTCAAACATGGCACTCATGGAGCTGTAACCATCTCTGAAATGCTCGAAAAATGGACATGAAAGATGGGAGTGTTGTTCTGAAGAGAGCCCCTGTTGCTCACTCGAGCTGAGGTCATCTCCTCTGGGTACACTTCAAACTAAGAACCATAGAGAGAAGATAATGACCTGCTTTGGGCTTTGTCACTCTCCTGGGGCTCAAAGAGATTCACAGTCCCCAAATCCCCAAATTGTATGAAATAGTAAGGGTGTTTGTTGACTGTGGTTCATTTTCAAGATCCCCTGCAGAGCTTCAGGAAGGTGCATCTTAACATCTACCTCCAAGAGCATCAGGAGGGAAGCAGAGGTAGTGCTGAGATGTAAGTGAGCGTCACCATCTTTCAGCTCAAGCTGGAGCTCCCCGTACCAGACCCACAAGCAAGGACTGCATGTGTCACCCATCTCCTGTAGCTTTCTCTTGCAAGAAAAGAAAGCAGCTCCCACTTTCATCTCATGCCCTACCTGCAGGGTCCTGGGCCTCAGTTCTTCGTGATACTCTGGACTTTTCATCAAAAACAAGGAGCTGGCTGTCCTGGGTCCTCACCACACAACTGCTGAGAAGGGAGGTCTGGAGATCACCCTGCTGGAGAGCACACTCAGGACGCTTCCTCTGTTGACCACAGAGGGCTCCTGGATGAGGACCAGAAGCTTTCCTGTAAAGAACCTTTGGGGAGTTTACAGTTACTGAGCTGAGACAGGTCCAAAAGATTATTTTTTTCCCCCATAAATATTTTCAAGCAGAGTTTGCTCACCTTTGGGGGTTGCCCATTTCCATTTGAAGACTCAAGGAAGTCTTTAAAGACCTATGAAAAGGTTTTATAGCTGAAACACTGTTTTGGGGGGAGGGGAAGCAAATATAAATCTCTGTGTAAGCTTTTATAGTGAAGAAGAAGACCCAGCAAAGGGGGAGGAAGCGAGTGGTTGGAATATGCCAATGAGAGGATGAATAATCAATTCTGCACTGTAAAAGCACCAAATTTCTCTGTGTTTCAGGTTGAGCTGGCTGATCTCGGAGTCCCGGGCTGAATGCTAACAAAGGGGACGAAATGCAGCACCAAGGTAAAGCTAGTCGGGTGTGCAGCCACCCAACAGCTTTTCTTGAAGGTCACTGCTGAACATCCAGAAGTGAGCCAGAGGACCACGCACCATGCTGTGCCACAGCATTTTACAGCTTAAGCAAAGCTTTCCTTTTGCAGCACCCTGTTTGTTTTACCTTGGCTGTGATATGACTTTTGGCAAGCTGTTTCCTATTGCTCTGTGCCTAAACTCTTCCTTTAGATCATGTGTGACTGTCTCTGAGTAGGTCCCACTGAAGGGAGGGTTTTCCACCTGGGAGATACCTGCCTGATGTAGAAGAAACCTCCAGTAAGGAGTTCACACAGAAACCACACGCCAAACTAATGGCAGAAAGAAATTGCACCCAGGTGACTGACTTCAGCTTAACGGGGTTCACAGAGGACCTGGTGACTCAGGTCATCCTCTTTCTGATGTTTCTATTCACCTATCTTGTCACCATCCTGGGGAACCTTGGGATGATTGTGTTAATCAGGGCCAACCCTCAGCTCCACTCCCCCATGTATTATTTCCTGGGCAATCTGGCTTTTGTAGACCTCTGTTCTTCCACTGTCATCACCCCCAAGATGTTGATTGACTTTCTATCAGAGAAGAAGAGCATTGCTTATGCTGGGTGTGTGGCTCAGGTGTTCATTTTTGATCTTTTTGGAATAACCGAGTGCTTCCTGCTGGCTACGATGGCGTATGACCGTTACATGGCCATTTGCCATCCCCTGGTCTATCTCCTTGTCATGTCCCCAAAACGCTGTTTCCAGCTGGTGGCTGGGTCATACCTCATGGGGTTGACAAATGGCATGGGACAGACTATCAGCATGTCCAATTTATCCTTCTGTGGCTCCAGTGTCATTGAACTGTTCTTCTGTGACATTTCCCCGCTGATATCACTCTCGACCTCCGACACCACCCTCAGCCACCTTATCCTGAGAACTTCAGCATCTTTATTTGGTGTGTCCAGCAGCCTGGTTATCCTGGTCTCCTACATAGCTGTCATCTCCACCATCCTGAGCATCAGGTCAGCCAAGGGTAAGCGCAAAGCCTTCTCCACCTGTGCCTCCCACCTCACCATTGTGAGCATCTTCTACGGGACATCGTTTTTTATGTACTTAAAGTCCAGCTCGAACAACTCAAAAGAAGATAAATGGGCTGTGGTGCTCTACACTGTGGTGACTCCCATGCTGAACCCTTTGATCTACAGCCTGAGGAATAAGGACGTGAAGGAGTCTTTGAGGAGACTCACAAAAATTAAATGATCTTGAGCGTTGTAAATTTATGGCCAGACAGAATGGGGATGCAAGTTATAGCCTCAGTTTTTGATTAAATATCTCAGATTAAGAACATTTTTGGGGTCTTCTGCACTTTGATTTAGAAGCTACACAGGCTGATTCAATATCCTCAGCTGGTTCAAGACATTAATAGTTTCACTCAGTTTTCCAAACATCAGTAATTAGATTTAGTAGTTAATTTAACCTAACAAAGTCACAGTTAGAGAACTACAAGCATGCACTTCTCATTTAAAATTTTGCCCTTTACCACTTACTCAATCCTGTGTATCAGGCCAAATTAAACCAGAAGAATATTGGAAAAATTTCTGCAACTGGTTGAACTCAAATTACAAGCTGCGTCATGTGTTGCTCTCCCTTTTGCTTAGCAAATCTGAATAAACAGGGGGTGAATTCTACTATTCCACTAAATAAAATTCCTGGGTGGTGCACAAATGTTTCATACATGAAAAAAGTAAAAATACTCCAATTTGTGCATTACCTCAGCCCATACAGACTGCAGCTTCTGAGGACCATGGTGAAAACTGGAGCTATGGCTTAGCCTTGCTGCTATCCTAGAGACATGTAGTTGCCTGGGTTGGAGGGAGAAGCTGCACAGTTGGATTAAATCAAGCCAGGATCAAAGCAGTTTGCTGATTTGTTAACGACACACAACTAATGGGCATCCAGGGTCAATCAGCTGAATCCTTCTTTGTTCCCAAAGCTTCCTGATAATTCCCTGGTTATTATTTAATCCATCTGATGGCCAGCTGCCCAGCTAGCACGGTCAGCCTGGGGCAAGCGTCCTCCCAGATCATTTGTGCTCTTGTTCCTCTCTTATCAGCTGTGGTGCCCTCGCTGCAGGGACCCTGGAGGTCTCCAGTACAGCCACTCACACCAACCAGGGCCAACTCAGACCTCCTTCTCCCACTGAGCCTTGGGTAACATCCAGCACAGAGGTTTCACACCCTCCCTGGCACCTCTTTTAGGTTTTTCCACTCTTACAGTGTTTTTTTTTTCCACCCTTTGTTTCTAACTGGAGTTTCCCACGTTGCAAATTCATGATAGAAAGTCTCGGATTTACCCTCATCTGCAACATGGAGCACTTGTTGGTGGCATTAAGTCAAAACCAGTATGATGTTATGAATTCCTTCATGTCTCCTTTGTCCTTGAAATGGGTTACAAAACTGTATTTAGCCATAGTTATTTCACGTTACATGCAGACTACCTGTTTCATGACAATGAGAGCCTGGACACAGCCATAGCGAGCAAGGTTTCCCTCTCTTTATTACCTCACGTCTCCAGATGCGTTCATCAGGACCTACTGAGCTGGGACCTCTGTCAACAATTCCTGCTGTTCTCCCAAACTTCTGTTCCTCTGCGACTGTCACCCTCAGGATCCTGTTTAATTGAGGCGCAGGGAAGAGTGCCGCATTTTTGTTTAAATAAAAGACTCAAGATGATTTTTAATGTTTTATTTACAGCCCCAGAGCACCTCTTCTTGCTGCAGTGACCTACAGCCATTATTTCGCCATATGTAAAATACAATAATATTCAATGATGTTGTGTCCAGTTGGCCTCACCTTCACCATCACCCAGTGTTTAAACTGGAACATGAGCTCTTAGTGTCTTAAAAACACAAGCCCGTGGCTACAGCACTGCTGCTCTGCTCGTTGTGGCTTCCTGCCTGAGCTGCCGCTCTCAAAACTGAAAGCTTTTTGCTCATTGTGCAAGCAGTGCTTGCTGTGTTTGGGGAAATCAGCGGTTAGCTGTGTCTAACGGCCCTCGCTGACTTCTGCGGGGTTAGATCACGAGTGGTGGGAAACATCCCGCGTGGCTCCAGGAGGAGAGTTACAGGGCGGAGAAGGAGCATCCAGCATTGCAACCCCTTTTTCTGGTGGGTCATGATGAATGAGCAAATACGTGGCTGGAATTTTGCATCTCATTTTGCATTCATGCTGATTAGCCATCAATTGCTTTGGAGCTCCTCTCCTCTGAAAGGGCAGGAGCTACTACAGCTACATTCCCAGAAAGGTGCTTAAGATCATCTTTGTGTCATGTTAAATGCTCCAAGACTCTAGATACAACTGAATTTCCAACTGGAATTCATTTTACTTAAGAAAGAAGAAATAAAGCACTCAAACCAGTGTTTCAACACCCTAGTTACTATGAGTTTGGTGTCTTGTGTCTGCAATTGTCCCCTGGCTCTCCTGTAGAAAGCACATGCAGCACCTCAGAGTTTAGCTGGAGCCAGCTAGGCTTGTGCTTTTAGGAAGAGCTGCCTTAATTCTAGTTAAATCTGATTTAAACAGAGAGCTGAGCAAACACTGCAAGTGTAGGAGCCACCTCCCCTTGTCTGCATACTTAGTGATGAGGTTTGAGAATCACCTCAGATGTCTTTAGGGGGAGGACTTATCTCCTTAACTTTAAATAAACATCATGGTACCTCTACACATTGACTGTGTGTGTGGGCTCCCTTTAGGATCAAGGAAGATTTGGCCAAGTCCATCATTGGGTTCTGGTGTGGCTCGTTGCAAGGCAGACACCTACATTTTGTCAGCTGAAGAGATCAATAAATTCTGCTGATTGTATTGGCCAGAGTCCTGTTAGCTATAACGTGACCTTAGCTCACAAATAGGTAACGACAGACTCTTGAGTTTGGGTTTTAATATGAGCTGAATCTAAAGGAGAGTGAAATAAATCTCATTCTGGAGGTGTTGGCTAGCTGGTGGGTAAAAAAATGGCACAGAAAGAGACATATATTTTTCTTTTTTCCTGTGATTAAAGAGGAGTTGAAGACTGGCTTACGAATATGTAAGTCCTGCACTGGGATTGTGATTCCTCTCCATCGTGTGTCATCCAGGTATATGGGAAGAACCACAGACCTGGAGCACAACCCTTTTCTCCCCAGGCTAGCTGGTAACCAAGCTGCCTTCAGCTTTCCCTTTTGGAAACAAAAGGGAGAGTCTTATTTTGGCCTTACTCCCTCTAAAACTGATGGCCAAGGTATTTCTCATTTTCAAAAGAGAATTGGGGGGTATTATAATGACTCATTTTAGATGTGGATACTGCCCTGGAGCAAAAACCCCTCCTGAGGTCCTGGTGGAAGAAGCAAGGATACCCCATCCAAACACTGGTAAGTTCTTCTCTGTGTCTGCCTTTACCACCATACATGGCTCAGAAAGGCATTTTGAACCCAAGAAAGAGACATTTGAATTTTTCACATTTATTGAGAAAGAGGGAAAGTGAAAAGGGGAAGGTTGGGTTGAGCAAAGACAGAGACACAAGGGACTGGACTAATCTCAGCTGGCTTTAGACACCTGCAGTTTCAGCATGTGCATTTAAGGCAGACACCCCAGAGGAAGGGATGCTTCTGTATGTGATAAAATCTGGATATTTCAGATGGGAGGGATGATGTTTTGCACTAGCAGTGGCACTGAGAACGGCTGGTTTGGATGCTGAGAAGTGGAATGCGTGTGCGTGAGTTATCTACACGCAGTTATGTAAATACCACCCAAGGTGAAGAAGGAAATTAATGAGGATGAGGAGTTGGCCATCCAATGTGTGAGATGTTAGCAGTGGGAAACAGCAGTCACCTCCTTCCCCCTGCCCAAGGCGGGTGTAGATGGCTGCAGTTGGATATCCTGAACTTGTTTAAAGGTGTTAAAGCAATTTAGCATATCCCTGTCTGCTGTCAACTGCTCTTTTCTGCAAGGAACAAGTCATATGATTTCTTTTACTGCTTTCCCAAGCACTAAACACCCATCCTGGGGATATTTTAATTTTGAAGCACACAATGTAAAATGGCTTTTTCAAAGGCAGCTTTTTTGTCCAAAATGGGCAGATGGGAATCGCACAGACTTCAAAAAGGGAAAATGCTGAGTCCTGCCCACGGAGGAAGAATTGCCTCGGGCACCAGGACAGGCTGGAGAGCAGCTTGGCAGAGAAGGACGTGGAGGTTGTGGTGGCCACCACGTTGATGATAAGCCATCAATATGTCCTTGCAGCAATGACACCCACAAGCATCCTGAAAAGAGCATTGGCAGCGTGTCAAGGGAATTTCTGCAATGAACCCCTGACCGGCAGCCCGAGGAATGGGGAAATAAGAGCTGCTTCGGGAAGGGCAATGGGAGGAGAATTGTCTTGAAGAAACGGTCATCTCGCTGGCGCTAGAAACAGACAGCAAGGCTGATGGAAAAAGGGAAGTGAGAAGGGAAGAAATAGCAATACTCATTTCTCAAACAAGCAACACACATGTTTTAAGGCCATCACTAGCAGATAACATGAGAAGCAGTCATTTTTTTTTTTTTTTTTTTTATTTAAAAGCCATGATTAAGAACAGAGGAAGAAAAATATAACAGGTAGAATCCAGTGATATTGAACACCACCAAGTTGCGTGACCTGCAGATGAGTAGCAGGAGAAGAAAAAAAAAAAAAAAAAAAAAAGTACTGATTGAAATCAATTAAATGAAATAATAGCAGATGTCTAGAAGAGAGCTACCCGGGTTCACCATCCCAACACATGTATGGGTGATGCATCCTACCCTTGGAGACAGGTTTTTGGAGCTGCATCCCTGTGAATGCTGCTTATAGGACCTGCTCTGAGATGTTACATCCAGGGAAGCAGTGGTGTAAAAACATATTCAAGTGTAAATGGAAAATGACAAGTTATCTTGAGGAAAAAAAAAAAAACAAAAACCCACAAAAAAACAAACCCACAATGTCAAATTAATATTTACATTTCAATCCACTTTTTCTTTAATATTTCCACATTTGCTCTATAGAAATATGTAGTACAAATTATTCCATTACTTAGCTTTTTTTTTTTTTTTTCTCCCATGTTCCTGGAGAATAAAAAAAATCTTTCAGATTGAAGTCTTCAACAAAAATGCATTGCCTTATGTTTCTTTCCTCATTACACTGTTGTCCACACAAGTCAAATTGCTCAGGCTCCTCAGGCATCGTTTCTGATGTGCCTTGGATATCCCATTGCTAAAACCTCAGAGAAATCTTGGTGTTTATCCCAGGCTCCCTGGGGAATGCTCACTCTGTTTTCAGGTGCCCCAGAGACTCTTTGGTAATTCATCCTGGGGTAAAACTTAAATCTTCCAGCCACGTTAGAAGATGTAATAGGGAAACCTTCCTGGTTTCTGAAAGACTGATGGAGTTTGTGTTTTAACTTCAGCTCAAGAACCAGTGAATATCTCTCGGAGGATGATTCGACCAGAGAGAGGATGAAATTTTAAGAGGATTTGAGACAATATTTTGCTGCATAGGCTTCCTCAACCAGCGTGTCCACCCCATGCAGAAGCAGGAACCTCTCCATAAAGCAATATTGAAGTTATTAAGGTCCATCCTGAAGGAAAAAATGCATATTCTTGTACGTCCGAACCTTAATTCCTGACTCAGATTTTGGATTAAAATTCCTGATATTAGCAGACCCAAGAGGTGCAAGGAAGATGACGTGCAAGTATAATTCAGATTAGAAGGAAGTGATTTTCCCTTGAAGCTACATGTACATGAAAATGCAATCAGGTATGCTGGTCTCATTTTAATTGACCCAAACATATCACTACAGAGTCAGAAAATCACTTCAGTGTGGTCTGTTATCAATTTAATGCAACACTAATTAACATAGCAAATTAAGGCATGATATTATTGTATTTACTTGTCCCTAAATAGAAACACCCCCCACCAACGAAGGGAACGAAATCCTCGCAAACATGCATGCATATAGGAAAGAATTTGGATGTTCATGAGAAGATATCATTTGCAAGAACTTTTGCAAAACCAATTCTTTCCATAATGGGCCAGCCAGAGCCTTAAGGTTTAAGCTTTAAGATTTTTTTTTTTTCCACATATGAACTATTGACTCTTATTTTGTCAGTATGTTATTTTGGATCTTCAACCTGCCCACTGAGGATAACTATCATGGTTTTTCTCCTAATGAGTGGGTGCATTCATCCAGGAAACACCAAATCCTGCATTAGCCTCAGGCACTACATATTATTGTGAGCTGGGAGAAATTATTTAACCTCTTCCTTGTGTTTCTTTGTCTCCTTTGTGCTGGCGCCAGGAGAATGGCTGTGGGAAACCACTCGAGTGTGACAGAGTTTGTCCTTTTGGGCTTCACCAATCTGCAGGAGCTGCTCTTTGTGACTTTTTTGCTCATCTACATCACCACGCTGGTGGGGAACCTGGGGATGATCGTCCTCATCAAGACCAGCTCTCAGCTTCATGTGCCCATGTATTTCTTTCTCAGCCACCTCTCTTTCCTGGACATCTGTTATTCTTCATCCGTCACGCCGAAGCTCCTATCAGGCCTTCTTGAAGAGAGAAATATAATTTCTTTCAATGGCTGCATCACACAGTTTTTCTTCTTTGCAGTATTTGGCACCACGGAAGCCATCCTTCTGGCTGTCATGGCATACGACCGCTACATGGCCATCTGTGAGCCTCTGCACTACTTGGCTGCCATGTCTCATGGGGCCAGTGTCCAACTGGTGGTGGGCTCCTACTCTGCAGGGACCCTGAATGCCCTCGTGCACACCAGTGCTCTCCTCCGACTCTCTTTTTGTGGCCCAAACCTTGTCAATCATTTCTACTGCGAAATCCCACCACTCCTGATGCTCTCATGCTCGGACACCTGGCTCAACAAGATGGTGATGGCTACGTGCATTGGCTTCATCATAACAACCTCAGTCTTGGCCATCGTGGTCTCCTACACCTGCATCCTGCTCACCACCTGGAGCATCAGCTCTGTGGAGAGCAGGCACAAAGCCTTCTCCACCTGCACCTCCCACCTCATGGCTGTCGCCCTCTTCTATGGTTCTGCGGCTTTCTTGTATTTTCATTCCTTTTCCAGACATGCAGAAGATCAAAGGAAAACAGCCTCTGTCTTCTACACGATGGTGACCCCCATGCTCAACCCTTTCATCTACAGCCTGAGGAACAAGGAAGTGAGGAGCACCCTCAGAAGAGCTATGACCAAGCTTCTCTCCTACATGTATTCCCACAGGTCCCACCAAAACGAAGCAGGTATCGCCTGCCACAGTGGAGTCAGCAGAAGAAATAAAGCTGACACCTGACAAAAGACGGGTATCATACATTTCTGCACATCTGGTGAGATGTACATGCTCTGCCTTGAGCTGGACACTGCAAAGTTTGAATTATGAATTAATTCCATGTTGGGGTCCCTTGAAAAAGAAATTACCTGTAATTACAATGTCTGAAAGAAGGAAAGGATGCAGGAAAGACAGACAATCCTAAAAACACGTTGTCAGTGAAACTTTTGGAGTAAATGAAGTTACAAACAGTTCTAGAACATGCACAATTGATACTTTTTACCAAGAGGATTTACTCAATATTACAACAAGATTAAATTCTGTGGCCTGGAAGAGTTTCTCAGAGCAGAAGACAAGCTAAATAAAGACTACATGTTGGAGAGGGACAATGTCTTTCATAACTGTTTTCAGATTTTCAAAGTATCTGCCTAAGGTTTTGCTTTAGTACAATAAACCTGATCTGTTGTTTTCTCTTATTTGCCGAAGGATAGTCTTTATGAGGGGACAGCATATCTCCACGCTTCATACATGTTGCATGTAAACTACTTGTGCTGGCCATTTTGCTTCCCTGGATGGGCCTCTGCCATGGAAAGCTGCCAGCCTGGGGCCACCACGTTGACGTTCTCCTTTGCCTAGGAGCAAGGTGGAGTTTTATCCCCTGTGAGAAGCAGCCGCTCAATGTGGTCCAGGTCTTTCAAGACATTGTTTGAGCAGTCCTGGCTTTTCCCAGGGTGTCATCTGGTGTTGAAAACACAGAAGCCTCCTTGCTCCTGGCCATATGTTGTACTCAGACATGGCCAACTCGTTTGATAGCTCTGAGACTCCCAGTGTTGTCCAAAACTCCCCCGCCACCTCCTCTCCTCCTTGTGTCTTTCCATCTAGGCAAAGTTTATTTTCCATTCCAGCTGCATCTTATTCATACTTTCTGCTTCCAGGTTTCAGGGGTTGAGTCACTTAGGTCTGGGAGTCATCCTATCTAATTGTAGGCTTTCACATCAGAATTAGTCACTGTAGGTTCCCCTTATGGAGACAACTATGCATTTGGAGGCTTTGATTCATCTGAGCTATTTTCAACATTGACATCAGGGTGAGGTGAATTTTTCTGGAAAAAGTGCAAGGTTTTCCCCGCTTGCTGCTTGGCAGCAGAGGGTGATGGGCTGACACAGCTACATGACAAATGTGGATTTTGCTCAGAGCAGTCACACCCAGGGCATAGTCTGAAGAGTCAGTTTAAACCTAAGGGCAAAGCTTCAGCTCACCATGCTGACATTTTGGAGTCCTTCAAAAACCCCACTCAAAAGTGAGAAGGTGAAACTAGCTTTTAATCAGTAGTTTATAATTCAGCTGAGCATGAATGCTCAGCATCCACAAAACACTTTCTGGAAAGAACAAAAAAGCAAAATGCATGAAGACAGTGTTGGAGCTGAGCTTTTGATTTATTATAAAGGTCACTAATGCCAGATACTAACTTCCTGAAGAAAGGTTTGTATTTTCCATGGATAGAAAATAATTCCCTAGAAGATCTGATTACAGATACTAGTGTTGTTTTGTTCTTTTAAGAACAAAAAAAAAGAGAAACTTTTCTCCATAAACCTGGTGTAACTCTCTCAGATGCCTGGATCTAACTCTCTGGGTTTTGAAACAACTGGATATTCCAGATAATATTAAAACAAATTTCAGCAGAAGAATTTCTGAATAGTTTTCCCTTCCTTCCCAATAGCATTTGCAACACTTCTCCAAATCCTGAGCTATCTCTTAATCCTCTAATCTCTATTTCTTACGTCAGTCCTTTTTAATTCTCTGTGATTCCAAGAGATAAATTATGTATTCCAAGACATACATTTTATATATATATATAAAAGTGAGAAAAAATAATCAAGCTTACATTTAACTTGCTGAAACTAATTGTGTTTATTTTTCAGTGCATGTCTCCTCCTTAAGGAGCTGTTTCCAGAGTCATCAATTCCCAAGAGAAATTTCCTGCATGACACCAAGGGGAGGGTAGCAGCAAAGCCCTTGCTCTTTCAGTGAAAGAAGCCTATAAACAGGTGCTTTTCTCGGTCAAGTATTGATGAACTTCATGATTGGCAAATCCGTCTTGCTTTTAGCATCCACACTGGGAGAAATTTGGGCTTATTTCTCAGATAAAATTTTGGTCTAGGAGATAACAAGTCTCTGAGAAACCAAAAACTAAGATATGAGCAAACAGGTGAGTTTTAGCCTAAATAATGTTACAAAGAGTTGATCTGTTGCAAGGGGAGGACTTTAGGCAGAAGCCTGTTTTCACATGAAATAGTCACCCAAGGTCACGATATATCGTGCAAACCCCAGGCATTTATAAGTTGCTTTTCCGTATTTAAGGCAGTCACTATCTGAGGCTAGGAATAAAGCCAGCTGAGACACATGGGCAGTGCCAGAGATCAGCAGCCCCTCAACCCAGCTGATTATTTGAATCAAGTTTACTAGGATTCATAATTATTGTCTAGTAGCCGGAGAGGGAAGCAGCTTGGACAAGCTGATGGAGTGGCTCTACAGAGCGTCAGTGGTCTGAGGCATGTTATCATGGTGGAAAAAACCCCCTTGTCATCCTTGAGTTCTGGTTTATCTCAGACCTTTTACATGAAACAGATAAGAGGTCTGATAGTACATGGTCTACTGCTTGCTATACTACAAAGATCACAGGATAGAAGCACTACCTGGGTTATTTGGCAAACTCCAGATTGTTTTAGAGGGGTGTGAAAGCTTCTGCAACTGACTTAATGCTGGAATGAAAGATAAAATTTGTTTGACTCAATTCAGATTTAAGGGAGGTTCATGTATAAGTCAAGCAAGGGCACACATGTTGAACTTTCCTCATGTGGATGGGTCCTTTCCAATGGTATAATTTGGTGTCTTGTTTAACAGTTTAAAAACTCTCAGTGGGCAATTTCTGTGACTATTCGACTATTCCTAACTGCTGTTTTAGGGAGACATGAGCTTAATTTTTTTTTTTTTTTTAACACAATATCAGCATCTTAATACCCCCAATTCATAATGGCACTGTAGTACTGTCGGGGTTTCCACCGGTACCAACCTTTTAAAATTATTTCCACTGTCTTTCTCAATTCACAAGAATGCTATGGATATCAGAGCATTTAAAGGGGACGTTAACACACTAAGTCTCCTGTTTCAAATAATTACAGAGTTTCATAGGAAGGAAGAGAAGAAATTAGAGTTTTATTTTAACTTGTTCTGACTCTCCTAAAAGAAATTATTTGAAAAATGTCTTGATCTGTCACCAGGGCTTTCTCTCTTTTATCTTTTGAAACAAGGGTAGGGGTTTTTTTAGTTTGCTTGTTTGTTTTTAGATGCAGAATGACTTCTAATGCAAGAATAAGTTGCTGTGGTTACCTCTTTGGATCTGATAAGTAACAAGCTTCTTAACTTCTTTAGGAGGTAGAATAAGCCTTCCAATTTGTAAAGTGACTTTATCAAACCAAATTAGTAGTGACTAGACCAGAATAAAACCATTACAAATAAACTCAATCATGCATTTTGTTTACTTTAAAATGTATTGAGACAAACACTGAATATGTTGTTCAACAGTTCCTGTCTCTGAAATTCGTATTTCCTGATAAAAATAAATGGATCTTCAACATTTGTTTGTGGGGAGAAGAGGAATTTGATGACTCTGTGTTTCTCTGCATCTCTGCTTTTCTACAGCAACTGTGTTACGATGATGGCCAAAGGCAATTGCACCCCCAGTGCTGAATTTGTTCTCTCGGGGTTCTCAGAGCAGGGGAGTGTCCAGGCTGTCCTCTTCGTGGTCTTCTTGGTGATCTACACGATCACTCTGCTGGGGAATCTGGGGATGCTCGTGTTAATCAGGCTGGATGCCCAGCTTCACACCTCCATGTACTTCTTCCTGAGCAGCCTGTCCTTTTTAGACATCTGCTATTCCTCCTCGATCACCCCCAGACTGCTCTCGGATCTCCTAGCAGAAAGGAAAGTAATTTCTTATTCTGCGTGCCTCACACAATTTTATTTCTATGCGGTCTTTGCCACCACCGAGTGCTACCTCTTGGCTGGGATGGCGTATGACCGCTACGTGGCCATCTGCAGCCCGCTGCTCTATGCCACCTCCATGTCCAGCAGAGTTTGTGCACTGCTGGTAGCTGGCTCGTACCTCGCTGGGATCGCCAATGCCACCATCCACACCGGGTTTGCACTTCGGCTCTCCTTCTGTGGTCCCAACATCATCAACCACTTTTACTGTGAGGGACCCCCACTTTATGCCATCTCTTGCACGGACCCCACCATCAATGAGATTATGATGTTTGTTGTGGTTGGCTTCAACCTGTTTGTCACTAACCTGACCATCCTCATCTCTTACATCTACATCCTGGCCACCATCCTGAGGATGCGCTCAGCTGCGGGCAAACACAAAGCCTTCTCCACATGCGTGTCCCACCTGACCACCGTGACCCTCTTCTACGGATCTGCTGCATCCATGTACTCACGACCCAGCTCCAGGCACTCCCAGAACCTTGACAAATTGGCCTCTGTGTTTTACACTGTGGTGACCCCCATGCTGAACCCCCTCATCTATAGCTTGAGGAACAAAGAGGTGAAGAATGCATTGAGGAGACTGATGGAGAGGAAACAAGCATCTGATAAATAATTTTCCCTGGTGCATCAGAGGAGTTGAGACATCTCCTCAGAAATGTTTACATTTTCCATTTCTGTCTGCTATGGTATAGAAGCAGCAGTGCTCTACTGTGAGCTACTGGGACAATTGTATTGGGAAACCTCTGCCTTGTTCCTAAATACTGGGTCATTAACACCTCTTGGATTAGACCATTCACTGACCTGTCTCTGGGATGTGTTAGTACTTTTATTTGTGTTTACAGTCTGATATCATTTTAATTTCAAGATTTTAAGCCCTTCTGACTATTTGTAGCTTGAGAATGCGTTACCACTGTTGTCTTGAGCAACAATGACAACAAATAACACTGCTTTCAGCTTGACAATGATGAGAGCTCTCT